TTTTGGTCTACCTCACAAACCTAAAAGTCAACCTCCATGTAAAGTTGAAACATGATCTTCGAGGTCCTTGGGCATATCCTAGCCAATCGGCGGCAAGATCATCGCAGAGTCAAGGTTGCTCTACTCCGCAGCCGGAGGATCTACGGTTTCTTTTCATGCTGTTTCAGCAGTGACTCTAGAGAAAGGTTATCTGATTATTTACCGAGAACTCAGTTATGTATGGCCCCTATTCTCGGCGTTTGTTTTTCCCGTGGATTAACTATTTACCTCATATCTGAGGATCGTTACATGTCTAATTTTTTCCCCTTAGCCAAGTTTTTTTCATTGGAGAATTGGCATGGAATTTAATGAACTATTTTTACAATATTTAACCACGACGACAACGGTTTTCAAACATAGAAATATATCACTCAGATGAGTACGCACAGTGTTATCTTTGACGATATCAAAACCGTTGCCTCCAGCTCCGCTCTCCGTCCGTTTCCGTACCTCCAAAACCCTATTCGCTAAAATGGCTATCTTACATGTCCATGGCTCACTACCCGCTGCAATGCTAGGGCGGAGGTGATACTTCGAACACTTCCCCACAATCAATGGTATTTGGTGTTGATATGGCGCTAACTAGCTGGCTTCCGGGGTTATGAAAACCGGCAAGGACTATCCCGGGATCATCGGTAGATCACAATTCTAAGCCAGTAGAGATCCGAGAGTCACGGCAGCGGTATCCTCGAGGCTCACTACCTCCCTTTTTGAGACCCCAAATTTCATTCCAGGTGTTAGGGTACACACTTGAATTATCCGGAAAACATTGCGGAGAACTCTATTTAAATAATAAGCTTGCCGGCAACCTCGCCGGCGGGCCCGGGGCCGCACCGAGACTCAGAAGTTCGGGGTACACGGCGATTTCGAGATCGAGATGACTCTTACTACTCCTGCCATATCGGTTCGAATATATTAACATGAGTGAATATTAGAGTTAGTAATATTCCTTTCTAGTGATAGTGAGAAGTGGTACAAGACTCCTGCGGGCCGGAATTATTCAAGAGATCCGCAAGGATATAGAGTTAAGATGATGGACGAGTCCTCATCGCTTACATTCCCCGAAACGAATATCTCCACTCTTAGTTTAGACCTTTGACACTATCCTCGTTGCCAGAAGTCAAGAGCGAGTGACGGCTGATGTCGCTAGGAACATATAATTACCATATTACCTAACTGCAGGACATTCCTCACTTCCTAGATCCTGGTCACGCATTATCCAAATAGCCTGCATCCAGTACTCAAACTTTAATGCTCGGGCAGTGTTCAGCAAGAGCTCTAGAGTTAATAAAGCCTCATTCATTTACAAGCTCGGAAAGGTATAACCCGGCGCGGCTGTACAGTACCTAGGCATCGAATTCATCTGAATCTGATCTAGGTTTCACCGCCAAGAACTTGGTGTTTCGCGCAGCTGATGCCAGGGATGACGACATACGGAACCTCCAGAATTAGACCTGATCGCACAGACTTCCTGGAATTATAGCTCACGTATGAGGAACAATGGAAGGATACTCTCTGAGGTACCTACATGTGTATTATCTCCACATACGTATTCAGGCTTTTTATCAATGGATCCCAGACCCGGTATAACGGTAGACTGCAAACTTTGAACTACCCATTCCACCTATGACCGATGCTCACGCAGGACGAGATGAACAGCCTACATATGTACTTCATATCGATAACCGCAAGCAAACTACGCAATTTTGCATTTTCTTTTCCCCTTTCATAGCATGTGTTCGCGGCTAAATTAAAGAAGAAGGAAAATGCGAGTAATACAGACCACCACCACCTCTGTCCGACTCTTAACCTCCGGCCCTACAATTGCAGTCCTATTCGAATTCATGTATCCCCTAAACAGTTAATGCTGGGATGAAAGCAGGCGCGCCGACTCTCTCGTAAGACCGCCACCTGCAAAAAAAATTGCGGGGTACGATACAGTATCCCTGATCATGTAGTTTAAGACAAGCATCCCGTTTCTTCCGCACGTACCGTTGAATAATTATATAACCCGGCTCGCTAACTGTGAGAGACAGCTTTTAAGTATCAATGATTACATGTATATTTTTGCACATTCCCCCGTTTCGATTAGCTTGGCATATCTTGCTCGGAGGCCCCGGAGAATGCATGGCCCAAGCTTCCTGAAAATCCCGACTAATTTTTCTCTTACCTTTTTTTTTCCCGCTCCTTTTTGCACCTGAGACGGTTTCTGCCGACCGGCCTACGCATGGTGATCATGATAACCACAATTTATTACGGCGCGCTGCATATAGTAAGGACTCCGGCTGATTCAACTTTTTCTAACATGTGGGCTCTAGTTGGAGAAGGGGGACTCCACGGCATAGTGTTTATTTTGTTATACTTTTTTTGTATTTTTTCCAACCATCAGCTTCTTTCTTTTTGTGCGAAAAGAACAAGGTTGGTTCACTGACCAAGATGTCCACGGATCGGACATTTTCCAAAATCAATCAATACCGGTACACACTGACTAAGTACCCTCCCACTTTGTTAATTTCTAGTTAATCTTCCTAACCTAGCTAAAAGAACCATACCAGCTGTCAGAAGAGTACATACTCTAAGTACTAATGCATGCAGTAGATAGCAGGTACCCTAGCATGGTTTGCTCGTACTCTACTATAATATCTGATACTCTAGCGAAAAGGCAGGAGGCTCCGGTGAGAGAAATGTTGAGAAATTGAATCAATTGATAAAAGCTAGTTTTGGCAATACCATGCTCGCGCTCGATCACCTTACCAATGCGATGGAAATATATCATCAAGGCATCGCAATCTGAGACGGTTAATAGGCCTAAAATTCTGCATTGTTTTTTATTTTCGGCTGTTCTTCCTTCGCCTAGAAGTGTAACCAGGCATCCCGGATAGCGTGCATACATGCTCTGCATACCGACCTACAGCAGTATTCTACGTTACCCCCGGACGGACGCGTCGAGACAAAACTACATACATACCTTCTCAACTTTCAAGAGTGGCTAATCCGAATCACGGGGACAAGCAACAACGGAGCAAGGTTCTTTACAGTACTATTGATGATAGTGGCATTGCCGGATTGCTTCCTTTCTTTTGCACCCCTTTTCTCGTTCGAGAAAGTAATTATCCAGGGGAGCTACTAGGTACAGCTTCATATGTACATAATTTGCTAGTCTCGCTTCAGGGTTGTCGGAGGTTCATGTGGGCTGAAGGCGCATGGTTCACTGGCTCCGGGTACTTTGAATAGCTGAATACCTAGTGTCGGTACTCCGATATATGATATGATATGGGATAAAGAGGGTAAGTAGCACAGCGTTAACACCAACTACTGAATGTAAGGAAAGGTGCAAGTGGGTACTCTACATATCCACCTAGGCTACATACCTAGAGTAGGTACAGTAATAACGACATCGAGTTGTTGGGTTTTGTCGGGAAAGCTTGCCACATGGCTTACGACGTCCGTGTCCCTTTCAGGGACGTTCTTGCGAAAATACTTCGAGAATGTGTATGGTGTATGGAACAGAGTGTCTACATATCTGTAAGTAGCTGGTGGTCTGATATGATATACCTATACGATAGCGAATTGTTGCTGGGTAGGTCACACTGGGGAGATCGCGAGAGGATCCTGATACGTTTGGCAGAAGTGAGTAAGATCACACCTATCGTTGGTTTAGAGCTGATAATGACAATACCTATATGGACATGTAGTACCTACAGGAGGCTTAGGAAACTAACCATTGCCAGATACAGTAAGGGAGAACATGCAGCGGCTACGGATAATGAAGCTCAGATCATGCCGTCGTGCATGAAACATTTCGGAGTCGCCAGACTTTGTTTGCTGTTGCCACTCACGAGAGAACAATTAAAATACTACTGCTCGTTCGCAAGCTGAAGGAAACCTTTCTATAGTTGCCCTGAAAGTTGAGGACTCAATACCACGGATATCGCCGTGGTGTTTTGAGGCTGGATGAGTGCTTTTTCCTTTAGAGGATTCTTGATCCACATCGATATCGCGTAAACGTTAAACGGTCGAGTCTTGCGCATCCCCTTTCTAGGACGCGGCTCTTGCTTTCAGGAAGTCTAGACATATGGGTACATATCTCAACTCGATCACACTCCCTCACTCTACTGAAGTCCTTTACCTAACTCCGGCACATGTTTTCCGTACATACATTACGGACCGGTGCAAACCCATTCCCCAATAAGAGAGAAAAATAAAATAAAAAAAAAAAAAAAAAAATAAGAAAGAAAGAGGTACAGAAAGAGGAGTCGAGTTATCCATACTAGTTACTCTACCTACTACATCGACATTGAATTGCCGGTAGCTATAGGTGTACTTGCATATTGCCAAAGAAAGTCCGCAAACGTCTGACCCACGCTCTCATTCTTCTTTGTGGTATCACACACGCTAATATACTCACCACAGGATGAAACTATACGGTCACACTGGTTCTTCTGAAAACGTACCCATTGTGAGTCGGCAATTTCCCCCTTTCAGGTTTCAATCAGCCCAAAGTCTGTACTCGTACCAGGTTGCCATGTCGTAGGAATCCATATGGCTTGCATTCATGGCTTGCACCCTCAGTGGGCGGCGGAGCTTTCTGCACCACGGCGTTCACGATATTTGTTGCTGCTACTGGTGCTTATGGTGGTGGGGGTCCATGGATCTAGCTCGCTTTACTCTCGTGAAAGGCCCCGCATCGGGATTCCTGAGGTATTGGGTCCGCCCGGCCATGAGTTTTTTTAGTTTTCTATTTTATTTTTTCCACCCTACATACAATATCGTTAGGTGGTGGTGGGTATGATGTGATATATTAAATATCCTTATAGTGCCCCGGGGCTTTCAAGATTTCCGTATTGTATTAAAGCACTCGAGTTCGCCCTTTACACTTTCACTGTTATATCCGGCAGCATTCATTTATTCCTTCGACCAGATCAGATCACTCTCGACAGCATCTACACTTTCAATCAATCATGAGCACCTCAAAGGTTACTTCAAAGTCGACGGCCAGCGCCGTCGCTACACCGGTGGAGATAGATGCCTCTTCAGATATCAGTACTCCCTCCGCAGAGTACGGTGGGTGGAAGAAGAGTGTTTATAAGGATTGTGAGTAGTAATTATAATAATAATGACTTGTCTCTTTCTGCAGAAACATTTTACTGACTCTGCTTCGTACAGATGCGCTTCAGATGGTTAGTTAAATTAGCTTTACCAGTAATAGTTATACTATTACTGGACATCGTACTATTCTTTTTTATTTGGGATGTGCTAATGTAGTTGATATTGATCCATTTCCAGATCGTTGAATTCATAGGTAAGCCTGCAGTGCACCGCTGATCATTCCCTCCCTCACCTCCAAATGTCTCATCATGATCTCCAGTAGAGAGTGTAAACTAACCAACGTACCCTTGCTCCTTCTAGGCACCTTTCTCTTCCTCCTCTTCGCCTTTGGCGGCACCCAAGCCGCAAAAGTCAACTGGGACTACGCCGCCCCGAACCCCGCCCATAACCCCACAAAAGCCGTCGCATCGCCCGATCTCCTCCTCTACATCGCCGTCGCTTTTGGTCTCTCACTCACAGTAAATGTGTTTGTCTTCTACCGTGTCAGCGGTGGCCTCTTCAACCCCGCGATCACAACGGGACTTGTGGTCATTGGCGCGATGAGCCCGTTGAAGGGAGCCTTGCTCGGTGCGTCGCAGTTGCTAGGAGGGATCGCTGCGTCGGCGGTGGTTGCGGGATTGTTGCCGGGAGGTTTGGCGGTCGGGACGGCTCTGGCACGTAAGTATTTTCAGGACCCCGGGAGTCGCATATACGCGAAATGGGGGAGAGTGCTGACAGTGTTTGGTGTTTGTGTAGCGGGAGTTTCAACTGTGCAGGGATTGTTTCTGGAAATGTTCTTGACTGCGGAACTCATGATTACGATCTTCCTTGTACGAAATCCCTTATACTCTATTCCGGCCCGCAAGTCCCACAAAACATAAAACTAACCTCTCCTTAATTCAGCTTGCCGTTGAGAAGCACCGCGCAACGTATATTGCGCCTCTTGGTATCGGCGCTTCCTTCTTCATCACCCAGCTGTTCGGTGTTTACTTCACCGGAGGTATGTCGTATAGTTCTCTCCTAGATCTAGAGCTCCTCCTCTTCCTCCTACCCTAGCTACTAGCTTAGCTACCATAGCTATCATTCCCAACCCAACTGTCCCATATATGTACTACCGGTCCAGTTTCTAACACATCCATCTCACTCGGCTAGGCTCCCTAAATCCCGCACGATCTTTCGGCCCGGCTGTCGTGACAGGCGACTTCCCAAGCTACCATTGGATCTATTGTAAGTTACTTCTCCCACTCTTCTTTCCCTCCACCGATATTGCCAGCGCATTATATGTTCCTTCTTCCTTCTTTTCTCTTTAATTCATAATCACTCCCCTGGCCCCTGCTCCCAAGACACCCGCTAACAAAACCGCTTCCAGGGCTCGGACCAGTAATGGGCGCATGCCTCGCCGCAGGAGTATACAAAATCCTCCTCCTCGCAGACTACACGACCATCAACCCCGGCCAGGACGAGGATGGCCTCACCTCTGTTGAGTCTGTCCTCACCGCCATGCGCAAGGGTAACGGCATCACCAGGGCCGATGGCGAGTTAGGCAGACGCGGAGAGATCAGTATTGTCTAAGAGGAAAGGTTTTTCCGGGTGGGTGTTTTTTTTGATTTTTAAGAGTGTTTTCCGGATTGGATCTTAGTTGCTATCATTCTCGGCACGGGGGGACTTCTATTTGCACTACTTCTACTTCTTCGACTTTTACTTCTTCTTTTACCGAGGCTTTTGCTTTTTGTTTGATGGGTCTTCTCTATTTTTCTGGCTTGTATTGTGGTTTATTTTTTGTGTGTTTTATCATGACGGCGTCTTTGTGTGCCTGTTTTATTGTATCAGGTTATCTGGGTTATAGGGGAAAGGGTTTTTTTGGTTTCAATTTTCTTTGCGGGATCGAGAGTAGGAAGCGTATAAATATGGGGAGCTATGTTTTTCGGGGGGAGGTGGAGGATCATGTTGCATAACGCATTTTTATATCCATTATCTATATCCATTATTCATCATCATCATTATCCATATTCGTTTCTTTGCTTGGGGTGGCTTGTTTCTGTCTATCTGTTCTACATACACATGCGAATACGCACACGATACATGTGACGAAAAGAGAACAAGAATTAATACATACATACATACTCTACACAAACATTGCTTTTTTGCCCGTTTTGCGTTTCCGTTTCGTTTCGGTTTGTCACCTTTCCCTTCAAATGCACAATGGAAGGATCATGACATATGTGGGAGAGCATTCACAGGCGAGATTCATATCAATCAAAGTGTAATAACATGCAATGCATGCAGCGCGCGGCGCAGCAGATTATCCGATATCCATTCTTTACAAAACAAAACGGTCGTCACCCTAGGTTACATATTACTCCTAACTCCTTACTTCTTACTATACCAACTTCCGCTTAATTCTTATCCTTACTCATTTTGTGTTGTTGTTGTTGTTGTACGTGAACTGCGTGAACGACCTGGAATGGGGTTGTATACTGGAAGGAGAAGAAAGAGTCGAGAGACACTCACAGCATATCGATTCACAAACATCATAATGGGAATTAGGGTACAGTCCAGGCGGTGCAGCGCAGTCTCCACCCGCTATTGCGCGCCTGCAGAACTGCAGAAAATAAAAAAAGTGAAAGAGAAGAAAAAAAAAGCGTCCGCTTAATCCCATCAGATGGACGACTGCCCGCCCACAATCGGTGGCTTGCTTGCGACGTAAAAAGTAAAGAATAAAAAAACGCGATACAAAAAATAAAAGGCGATAAAAAAAAATGTGATCGCATATCGTGGATGGAATACGACATTGGCTACGCACATTGTCCATTGCGGGATTAGGCTTTCTGGGAGGAGGAGAAGGAGGAAATGTCATAATTACTTTTTCTGGCTCCTTAGCTCCTTTCTATTGCTTTTTCCTTCCCTTCCACAAAAAGTAAAAGTGCGGGGACGTTCACACTAACCACTGTTAGAGTTGGGTAAGGGATAAGGGTGCGAATCTCACGATCGAATGAATGAGCGCCCGCACGGCCTTTAGGAGAAAGAAGGCTTAAAAAATGGCCGGCACACGGACGGAGCGGAGGAATACATACATACGTATCTTCGGCCCCGTCGTGAATATGTCTAGCGACGTAGGTGGAGCGTGTACCATACTAGGCGGTCGACCGAATTAGATTCTGCTCACGTCTCACTGGCATTGCGATCTGTCCTGTTGGTGTTGTTAATGTTGCGATGAAAAGAAAAGGTACTTTAGAAGTATCGTCACTTAAGGCTAACGACAGGAAGACCGACAGAGAGACAGGCTGCGGTGAGAAGGATTGAGTTGAGCTCGTGATCACTCGCAATCGTGGGAAGTGATGTTGTGCTATGTGCTAAAGAGGTCACTAAAACCTCACGATAGTTGACGTGGTGGTGTGCGTGTGTCATGCGATGTCACTCGACTTGAGCCCCCATATCCAGTCGCAATAGAAACTCTTAACGCAAATTACTAAACCTCCACTTTGCCAACCAAGACCTTTTGTTGTATATCGTCCATTGATATTCCAAAACCAGTAGATATCTCAAAACATCTCGCCACCTTTTAGCCCTCGTGGCAAGGCGGGACGAGTGACATCCCATGCTCGAAACACATCGTAACTGAATTTTGTAGGTTCCCAAGTCTTGCAAGCATCGATTCATCGGAAACAGAGATCGACCAAACCCGCTTTTTTCTATCTCAGCCCACTTCTACCAGCAACCAGTGTACACTTCTAATCATTGCATTAGCACATACGCGAGTAAATAGGCGAACCAGCGATATCCCACAAACTGTCAATGATATCCACGTTTTCCGCTACGCTGGATAAACTTTTCGTAAGCACCCCTCCCTTCTTCGATCAGATCTACAGTGCCTATGGCGAATCCCGGGGTCACGTCTGTTTATTTTCGTTTCCTTTCCGCTCATTCGCACGTCCCATTCTGCAGGCAGAATTCTAGAGGTTTTGCCCCGCGTCATGTCACGGATGGCAATACGTACGCGCAGTAGCAGAGTACGTGCGGCTGCATAAGCGTGTGTCTGTCTGTCTTTTCGCCGCATGACTTATATATCCTGTCCAGTTGTGTTAGACACTCAACGATTCAGAGTACCGGACCGTGAGCTAAGGTCGGTAGTCTTCTCCTGCTTGCTGTCAGCCAAAGCTACTCACTAGATGAAACGTTAGGACCCTTTTTTAAGTGGGGGCCGAGTGAGAGTGAAAAGCTTGGTCCTGTCTCGGGGGTCTCGGGGCGGAGGTGTAGTTTGAGCCTTATGTTTACTCTACATAGGTGGCCTTAGAGGCGGTGGGAAGCTCTAGATCTCCTATTCTCACGATGGTGGTCAACTGAGTCTTTGGCGTTGTAGAGGCAGAGATTCGCACAGACAGCACACTAACAAGGCCGGCCACGAACGGCATCGATAAAGCCCGGATTAATTAACGGAAAAACTGTCTGATTCTGATTGGGAGATAAGAGATAAGAGATAAGGATATTCCGGATTAGCACTTACTAAGCCAGGAGATATTAGTCTGTCCAATAGAAAGCAGCCAAATTCGCCGTTTGACCTTTCCGCTTTGGTTGGTCCAGAGGTTGATGCCGAGTAGATATGCCAGTTAATTTATTAACCTACATGTAGGGCAAGTGAAATCTACACTACCACAATATTAACACATATTGACGAACTTTCGCCCTCCTACCTAAAAGAGAAATGCGGTTTTTTTCTTCTTTCCAATGGGTTAGGGTTACGTACCTGTTAGATCGAGCCTACACGGGAGACGTACCCGCTGCCATGGGGAAACGGTCCACCCGTAGAAGGCTTGATCAAAACGATGAGAGATCTATGGCTAGGCTATTTATGGATGACGGTCGTTGCCAACGAACAACAACATATCCGTTTCAGCAAGCCAATTATTTGAGACTCTGGAAATAGTAATCCATTGGTGAAGTTCTGATACAGTTTCATGCGCGGGTCGGTCCAATAGGATAAAAAACCAGATTTTGGGGACGCTTTTCCCCCTCGAGCGCTCTCTCGGGCTCTTGAAAACCGAGTGATACGTGGTGAGCAGGATTAACCGGAGAAAAAATAAGTCTCTTAAGCTTTGTTCAAACATATAGTACGTCGGGGGAGATTATACCTAGTGATATCAGGATACAAGCCTGCAGTTTTCTGACTACGTGTGGTCCAAAAATTAAGACAGTAAGGAATGAACGTTTTTCGATGCTAAATGGTATAAAGCCGTAGTATTATTTCAAAGAAGGTGGTAGCGATACCGTAGATTTACAGCCTACTTCTTTTACGTCACAGTCATTGAATCCACTTCTGTAATGCCGTGTTAATAATACAGCACGAAAAAGGGGGTGTAATAAGTGCTGTACCAATACGGAATCGTGCAAAACTTCTGAATTAAATCGGAATCCTAACTATTATACCGTATTAATACCGTAAAAGTACCGTATACGTAACAATACGGTATTTTGGTACTGTATATTATGGTTCATTCTCCCCATAGGGTCTCACCATTTTGCGCGAGCTAGGTTTTGGAAGTTTTCCCCAGTTACAATGCCCGAATATGGCGCGGATAACTCCAAGTACGCCGCCATAATTTTCGGGTTACTTGAGGGTAGGGCGGACTACTCTTATTATTATTATTATTGTCCACCGCTAGGGTTAGGTTTTAGGTGGCACTTCGAGTGAAAGCTCATGACCGATAACCCAAAGCAGAATCCAGTTTCGACGATTCATTGGATATTGTATGTCTGATAAATCTCCAGTGAATGTGTTCTGAATTTTAGACAGCGTCGTATGTATACGTATCTAACATATTAAGCCACATTTCATGAGGCATACGTTTCCACCCTCGCCGTATACACCGTAATAACTGGCCTTCACCTCTACTTGTATACAAGCTACATGTAGTATACGTTTACATATTGGAATGCAAGTATTTAAGTAGAAATGATACTTCGTAGAATACCATGTCATGTATTCATCCAATGATCGTTTGAAAGGTTAAGTAGCTGATATAGAATAAAGATACCAAACCCACGATACTTCTCGAAAACAATCCAGATTTCATAGGCAAGGCAAATTCCAGAGATTTCAGTTGAAATAGGGCTAGGTTTGTTTCAAACAATGTTATTATGGGTAAAAGCGGCTCAGAAAGCTTGAGGAAATATTAAATTCTACTCCATCACGATGGTCATTATTGAGATAGTATGATTGCAATTTATCGGGTGAAGAACCTTATAGAATCTCAAAGGCGTTGTGATAATGGGAGCTAAAACTTGCGGAGAGGTCTAAAATGGCGCTTTTTGATATACGTTGTCAATTGGTGCACGATGACATACAATGCAAACTGACACACTTCACTCCCTCGGTCCAAAGGCGTAGGTCACCATGGAAGAATAGGTGGAAGATAGCATGGTGACCTCTTGACATAGAAATTCGGAGCTACTCTCATAGTTTCATAGTTCCGGTGACTTAGTGCTCACAAATATTGCAAACTACAATCCGATACCCAGCTACTGTGAACTTAAAGTCAAATCCAGTATCACCTTTACTTTCAGACCCGTAAGTCTGGAGGGGGCTTGTCACTAGTGACCTAATTCTGGACCATATTCTCAAGCATTTCCACTGGTCTAAGAAGCTACTCTTTATGAAATCTGGGCTGTGCCACTACTCGACGAATTTTGGAAGTCATTGATTGTATTGTAGCTGTGAAATGAGTTCATGCTGTGAAATTCAGATTTCCTGTATCACTTTAGATCGTGGGAGTGGGAGTGAATAATACCGAAGGTCAAAAAGTCCGTACCGTACGGAAGGTAAGATCTATAGACTGTGTCGTTTTGAAACATATGTTGTGTCGCTTTGAATTACATGTTATCGTACGCGTACATCAAGTGTAGTTGCTAGAAAGTGACATTTCAGACCTTTCCGTAAACTTTAACGGCTAATTTATGATTAATAACTCAAATCATGATCAGCCAACAGCAAAACTACAACTCAGAAAAGTTTACGTTCTTTCAAAAGAAGCTATTTTGGTTATCTTTTTTCCCTCTATAAATTCTCATTTGGTAAGGTTTTCATGTTGTGACAAAGAGCAAAGCTCCCGGGCTTGATATTTATCATTCTTTCTTCTGGGTCTAGTTGGGTCTTCATTACATATATGTTTGTATATCAAGGCCAAATAAGCATCCTCATTTAATCTCTCTCACTTTTTAGCTCATCCTGTCTAATGTCTCTTTAATAATTAAATAACATGGCTAGAATTAGGTCACTTGTACATGTACAGCCACTCTGCAAAAGTGTTCGTGATTCCAATTTCGGAGTGAGACATTTCTCCATATGTAACCGTGGCCGCATACACCAAGAGAAGACCAATGGCGTCAGGAATCAATGAAGAATAAAGATCAATGGCCTACATTTTCTATATAGTCATGAACTATATTATATACTAGAATTTTCGTTGTTTTCAATCTGAGCATTAATATCAACATTACGGGTACGTCACACTGCGCATTGATATTAAAACCAAATCACGAACACTTTTGCAGAGTGGCTGTACTAACAAACAGATAAGCTAAAGTCCCAGAAGTCTAATCATCGAGATTCAGTTTTAATAAAAGTGGGGACATGGGTCTGAGACTCCAGATTGTCCTCTAGTATGTACATATTCACCACGTGCTAGCTGATTGACCTGGCAAAAGGCTTTATATTTTGATATAGAGCAGGACCATTATGGCTGAATATATTCCACGCGTAGCCGGTGCAAAACTTCAACAAGAAACCGAAAAATTGACTATATGCCGGGGATATAATGTGTTGATTGAAGACATACTTTTAGCACATAACTTACATATTATAGGTCAGAAAATTTAAGTACTTCAAGACAGTCGGCTAGGTCTGACGAAATGAATCCATAGGGCAGATTCTTTGGTGATGCCGAATCAATGCATGTAGTGAGGACAGCCTAAATATTTGAACTAAGGTACGTGTAGGTATTGCAATTGGATCATTCTAGGCTATAGAAAAGATTGCAGGTGTCAATGATACCTACAACCAGTCAAGGCGCCTCTGTGGCAGCCCTGCTGTGGCGTTAACATACATGTACGTACATCTAGCCATGACGTGCCGATTACATCTCCCGTTGCCGTGTTAAACTTCAATTAAATCATAATTTCCACGCTAGTGAACCATCATGACAAAACGTGGGAGAGGGGTGGACCTCACCCCCATTCGTTCTGCCCCTCTATCCTATCACATCCACTCCAAACAACCCTATAACACTAATACTTCTACATTCATCCGCTGGAGCTCTCTACGGGCCTAGATTCACCACTGTAAGTACCGCTCTCCGTTAAGGCTACTAGCGGGAATGATAGACGAACTCTAAGAATAAATTCAGAGTTGGGATTGAATAGTGGATAAATTTACGCCCGGAATGAAAGTAGCCCTGTTACCTGAAGACTGACTCGTGTGTTATATGTAAGCCTGAGTCCCGTACATACATATCGCCATCTCGAATATCTCCTTCACCACCAGATGTTTGCCAGGGAAAACCGGCTCTATTCATAGTGAGAGTACGTACTGGCGTGGGCCTACTTATCTACCAACATGAAGTTTGGCGTGGTTTGGGGATATTTCGGCATTGCGGGAAATATAGGTTCAATTGCAAACCATCTTCGATTCGCCAACATTTTACCTACTAGTCAATGTGTTAGGAATCTGTATCTTCGCCGCCGCCAAGTCTACCCTGGTGTCACCAACGGAAACTCGAACGGATGTGTTGGGGAGAACTACGCAAATTGATCAACACATATGGCTAATAGCATATACAGTAAGTTTCTGTCCATTTAACTTTTTCGTTTTAAGCTCAGTCAGAATGGCAAAGTATGCCATGCTGTATTCCAGCATGGTGTGACGTGACGCACGTGACGTTCTACGTGACAGAACGTACTACCACTTTACTGATCGTTTCCCGATACAAAAAAGAGTCTTCTTGACCGGCAGTTATTTGGCACATTTGACATTATGCGGTACGCTGATCGACACTTGCACGAATCAGCGTTCCGAGTGATACCCCATGATTCGCAGTAAAGACGGAACAGGTGTATACGCCGGTCAAAATTCACACCTAATGAGTACAATTGGAAGAATTAACTCGGGGACATGTTGAGTGAGCACTATCAAGCTCGATTGCAAAAAAGAACACTTTGCCCATATGCGACGGCAAAGCGACAATACCTACATGGACGCCGGTATGCCAACAAAATGAACTGTATCCTCTCATTCTTTTTGATATTCCAGCTGATGTTCTGCACCCTGCAGTAGCTCCTTGCTTATGGTTTCCGGAACGAGCTACTCTTCCTTTGAACACATCATTCAGGGACCGTCCTCGTGGCTTTGCAGAGGATTATTTTTTTTGAATCAGGTGATATCACTCGTCCTTTATTCATGAATATTTTCGAGCTATATCGAAATCGGGGCGGCTCAGAGTTTCGTATGTAAGGGATCCTCGCACTTGAAGCGTTTCAAGACCAGACCAGTGCGGGCCATCGCGATTGGGTGTCAGCATTCAATTCGTTGGTGCTACATATGCGCCTAGCTTTTAACCCTAGCCCTAACCCAAACGACGCCACATCACTTCCTTGCGAGTCAATTGATCAGCAAAATTCAACATAGTTACGTCGGATCTTGTCATGAGGTATTTGACACGTTTATAATTTTCAATCCTGCTAGATGAATATGTTTCCCACTTTATCCCGTTTGGCCTCTGCAAACATTGATATCTACCAGTGGATACTTCCTGATCTTTCCGCCGAAAACTCTTGGCTGCCAACGCTATGGAGCGGGAAGGGAGGGAAGTGGCTTGCACGAGGGAAACGTCACAAACATCGAATAGGATTCTTGGATTTAAGATTCCAATTGGACTGTCTACCATTTGCGGGCGTTGCCATAATTGCGGGGTACATTCTGTTGCGGTGGAATTCTGTTGCGGTGGAATCCTGTTGGCGTGGTTGGTTGCATATCGAGTGATCATCTATGCTTTCCGATCGAAACCTTACCATTCAGATCTCACAGATTTCGCGTTGCATGTGAAATTGCAAGTGGATAAGAAAGAAAATGCCCATGATGAGAAACGTGGATCTCATGCGTCATGGTATTGGAGAGGTTACCGAGTACGGCCGGGAGAGGCACGTACGGCATTGAACCTCCAACCGGGTCGTATCGTAAAATGATACTTTTTTGTTCATGTCCACGCACAGCTGTAATACCGCAACGGTTGGATATCAAAATACTGGTCAATACTTTTATTTATTTATTTTTTGCTAATTGGTTTCAACAGCGACGTGAACCCGTTCCGTTTGGCATTTACATTATTTTTCTCTCTTCGGTGCCTCCCGCCCGAACCTTAAACCGATTTATACCGACGTAGGCATGCGCAACCACTCGCATATCAGCAACCCAGTCAACCCAACCCCCTCCCTTCCTTCAGGGAGCAATTTGTACCCAATTCGTCACGAGTCACTCTACACTCAGGTAAAGTGGTTTATTTCAGCTCGCTCTTGCCGGCCTTCTTTTTAATTGAGTTCTGCGTGGCGAAAGGGGATCCTTGTAGATACACGCGTGTGCCGTAGCGGTATATGTCCGATGTGGAATTTCGAGGCTTCTTTCTTCTCCCCGAACCTTCTGCTGGCTTCTTTCTGAGTGTCCTAGGGTTCTAGTGGTTGGTGGCTTTGGGGCCTGGTTTCTGCTACACCTGTTTCTGACCGGGTGAACGGTAGGAATGAGCAGGACAAGTAGTATGTGTCAGAATGGTTTCGAGAGCTGCGAACATAGGAAGCCATCAGGCGTTTCCGGCCGGATTCACCGAATTCACCGCGCCGGTATGTAGGGGCCCTAGCGAAACGAGGAGTTGAATACTACTCTATGGTCAATGGCGCCTATGTACAGGTAGTTTACTGCTGTACTTGGAGACAGTGAAGAACCAACAAACAAAAAGGATTGCTTCTCTGCAATGAATTACTGTAAGAAAAAGCCGCTCAATTTTCAAGATGGCTCTTGTTTATTCTCGGTGGAAGGCCATACATGCGATCGGCGGTCCGACCTTCCCAATGGCCTGGCCGACAGAGTAGACTCCTAGCTGATGAAGGCTGAATGCATTGAACAGCAAATGCTCTTATCCTTTGATAAGGCCCAATATAGTATCCAGCTGGCTTGCGCGCGGTTGATTCCCAGCCAGTAAACGAAACAAACGAGGAAATATCCAGACGATGACAATTTTCTAGGTAGCTGAAGCTGGGCCGAAGCTGGAGTTTATTCCAGATTCCTTCCTTCCTTGGTCTTTTATTCTCCATGGACAGGGCCGTCAAGCATAGCCAACTGGTCTCGATCTTTGCGTTGCATCATGTTGGTTGGGGTGGACCGTGGTGGTGCAACTCGGGTTGCCCTAGGTTATCCTGGCTCGCCTCGCGCCCCACCTTCCTTCCCAAGATCGATCGATTGCCCGCTAGAGTAGTTTATCGCTAGGCGTCTTTTTCAGCCCATCACAATCTCCCGGTTGTCGAGCCAACAGCGCTAATAGAGGTGGGACCCTTGCTCCTTGGCACATTATTCTCCAATCCCGACTTCTCCTCGCTCGCGCTCGTCGCACCTGAACCTAAAAGATCCACGAAAAACGCCAAGACCGAATTAGGAACGACTCGACTTGCTTGATCAAAACTGAACAATTGCGCTGAAGGCGTCTCTCGCTAAAGAGGAAATTGAGAGGCTGGCTCCTGTTCCCTTCCCCCCCAGCCTCTCGCTTTCGCTTCCCCATACAACCCTTTTCCTTTTTCCTTTCTTCGGAGAGATTTTTTTACTTCCCTTTCACCCAGACAAGGTCTCATGAGCTGTCATCATTCTCCTCACTCCCCATGGGGTGGTGGTGGAAATAATGGCCGCCTCTTTGAGGCAATTCTGATTTTGATTGATATTCATTTCCTATTTTACCTCATACTGACAATTGGTGCATACGGGGGGTGAAAGGGGGCTGCAGAGTGCAGCTAAAGGTTGCACAGTATTCTACCCATTCGGCCCCCGGTTGTGTTTCTATTCTTGTTTGCATGCTATCAAACACAGATAGCGGACAGGGAACGAATTGGCCACCAACACGACCTGGAAAGTCGCCAATTCTATGGTCAAATCCTGCTGAAAAGGACAAAACAAAATCGCACAGGCCGTGCTAAGACAGCCACTCACGTGCGTCCACATAGTAGAGTTCTGGTTTCTTATAGTACTATTTGGTTGATATGATCAATTGCCCAAATAAAGCCATTTATTATGGTGATCGTCAAATTACGGTATTACTATTGAGATCCTGGTAAGAGTAAACAGCACCAGCCACACAACAACAAACGGGTCTCTCTCTTCCCCGCCCCCCTCGAGAGAACCGTAGCTTTGTAGTCTCGTCTGGCAAATAGTGCTCCCTTGTCCTTAGTACCCTTCCCCATTTCAGGCACCCACGTACCTACTTTCCCACCCCAGATCTTCGTCTAGAGAATCCCCGGACCACAGAATACACCTGGAGGAAACCCACCCATAGAGATTTCGCGTCACCTCTCACCCCGGTCCCCGAACGCCTACTTCAACCCGCAAATTCATCACGAATTCAGGTTCCCTTTTGTTCCTCCTCTATCAATCACTCGCCTCACTCACATCCCAACCGCTCCAGCCTCTTCTCAATCAGCCAGACGTGTTCATCATCTAGCTTGAACACCTCTTTCCCCTTTTTATAATACCACAAACCAGGGTATTCTCCTTTCTTGTCGCGTTAATTAAGGCGACAGGAAAATCCCGGAGAAATCACTAAGCAGACAAGCTGGATTTTGACGCCAGAGTCCCGATTCCCTTCAGTGTCTTCCCGTCATCGTACAAGACACCTGGGACTAGTACACACGTAGTTGAAGAAACTACAATTGAGCATCACCATACTGGGGGGGTGGTAGAGCCGCCTGTCCAGTATCATTCTCATCACGAAGTCGTAGAGGTGGAGAAACAACAGGGACATCATCTTGAGGGACATCATGTCCACCTATCTCATGAGGAAGAGGAGGATCAGCGCATTGTAATCTCTGAGACAGTTCGTCACGACTCTCACCATCACAATCAAAATTTCCACAATAACAATCATCATCTTCACAATCCCATGCCCGTGCACCATCACTCGACTCATGTAGTCGAGGAGGTTGTTCACCATCACCATCATGACGAGCAGCCCTCTCAACACGTAGCACTTTACGTTGACGAGGAGCGCCGCCACTCGGAAGAGGGTATCTTCTCTGACAGGTCTTCTGTCTCATCCCTTTCCTCTGAGGGCGGGAGACACCACCACGGACACCACTCGCACCGCCCCCACCTCCCTAAGTTGCTGCACGGCACCAGCCACCAACACCACACCTCCCACTCGCACCACGAACACGAGGAGCACAGCAACCACAACCTCCACCACAGCAACCACAGCAACCACAGCAACCACCTCCACCATAGCAACCACAGCAACCACGACCACCACGAACACCACGAACACCACAGCGACCATTCCCCTTCTGGAATCGTGCATAAGGTTATTGACAAGGTTGTTGAGCACATCCCGCACGTCCACCTACATAAAGACGAGCACTCCCACCACACCTCTTCCTCCTCTCACCTCCACAACCAACATCAGCATCTCTCGGAAGACCACCACCACAGTCACCACTCTCCAGATCCCATTGTTGTCAGTGAAGTTACTACTGTCGAACGCACAACAGTTGTAGATCCCGTCTACGAACAGCCCTCCCACCACACCGTTCATAAAGTCACCGTCGACGAGTTCGCTCCCGTAGTCGAAGTCCGCGAGTCTCATCTCCTCACCGAAAAAGAACACTCTTTCGAACAACACCCTTCTTCATCTCTCACAATGGTTAAGTTCCACGACACCCACGCTCACGGTGATGTCCACAGCTACGACCACTCCACCGGTCTTAGCCACCACGACTCCCATATCTCCAAGGCAGCTCACATCTCATCTGCCCACGAGTCAACCAAGTCCACCTTCACCATCCCTTGCCACCACATCCGCATTGGTGACTTGGTGATCCTCCAGCACCGCCCTTGCCAGATCATCCGTATCACCACCTCTGCTCAGACCGGCCAGCACCGTTACCTCGGTGTTGACTTGTTCACCAAGCAGCTTCACGAGGAGCCTTGTGTTGTCTCTCACCCATCTCCCTCAGTCGTCCTCCACTCCCTTCTCGGACCCGTCTTCAAGCAGTACCGTCTCATCGACATCCGTGATGACGGAAAGCTCGTTGCCATGACCGAGACCGGTGAGATCAAGCAGGGTCTCAAGGTCGTCGACCAGGGCCACCTCTGGGGACGTTTGAAGGAGGCTTTCGGCCACGGATCTGGGTCCGTCCGTGTCTTGGTCATCTCTGACCACGGCAAGGAGTTGGCCGTTGACTACAAGATTGTCCACCTTGCCCACAAGTTGTAAACGTGTTATATCTCTAATACATTTTCCATTTGTGTGTAAAATTCATTCTTGGGTGTCCCTTGAATGATCGTGTACTAGTCTCTGTGGGCGGGTGTTCTTGGGAGTAGTGTTGGCGGTCGCGATAGTTACGTCTTTTTTCCTTTTGTGTCACGTTTTTCAGATATCTTTCATGTTTAATGCGAAAAAACACCACAAAAAAAGAAGATGGTACGAATTTTAATTTGGGGAGGGGAATTGGGGGGGATAATCATGTTTGTAGTCTTTAGGCAATATCAAGCGGGGGTTTCTTCTGTTTTTGGCATTTGATTCGTTTTTTCTTGCATTCGCTCCTTTTTTTACGTTGTCTCTGGCAAAGCGGGTTTGAAAAAATCATTCTATCTAGGGAACGAAATACAAAGTGATTTTTTTTTTTTGGTTCCCACCAAAATTTATCGTTCTCCATCTTTTGCCATGTGTGAATTCCTGCCATTGACCAATTCCAATGTCTCGGGGGGGGGGGGGTTGTGGCTTCTAGGTGTCTCGATTCTAACATATCGATCTTGACGCGTTATTGTTGACTTTGCCGCTCTTACGTCTGACGCGTATCCGATTTGTTTACCTCCACACTCAAGCCGCGTGGTTTCCCTGCTGTGGGGGTTAGAGCGGCAACTCTCACACACTTCCTCTCAACAGCGGCCTGACATCCGAGTCGGGTGGAGGTCTCATGCTCAGGGTCTTCTTTTTCTGTCTCAACGCGCATATCGCATACCTACCATGCCCATCCATACCTTGCCATGCTATGCCATGCCATGCCCTGCGCGTAGCAAATACAATTTCCAATTTCCCACGCTCGATCAGCGGGAACAATTGAGCCATTGGATCAGCTCGTTTGTTTCCTCGCAATTGGGCAATCCCTCTCGCGCGCGATGGGGAGAAATGATGATGGGTCTGATGGGATCTACAGTGCGTTTTGGGGGAGGGGAGGGGGGGTAGTGCTGCGTTGTTTTTGTGCTGCACTTACAGAGCTTTGGGGTCTTCTTCCCTCTGCTGGAGATTGCGATTACTGTCTTGTCCCGCACCGCACCGCACGACATGGACATGAACCCATACCCATATCCTGGGTGTTCGGATTTGGGCCTGCAATTGCACCATCCTTACCTCTTTTCTTTTTTTTTTTTCCTTTCCCGTTCCCCTTGCCTTCTTTACATCACGTTCCATCTCTCGAACCTTCGGTGTGCAGAGGGAGAGTACATACATGAGGTGGGTACATGGTGTATCAGGGTTTCTCGACATGTAGAGCAAAGGGAAATACAAATACAGTACAAAAAAGGATAATAAAAAAAATTGGAAAGGCTGGTGTCTTCCCCGGCCGAAGGAAAGAAAGCGTGACACTGCTGACGTCGCCTTGGTCCATGTTGGGGCCGGTCGGTCGGGCATTCAGAGTATTCTCCACAGTCTCACTCTCTTACGCCACAAACATAACCAATCGCACGCACGCACCTCCTTTGTGCAACCCAACCCAGCCCAACCACCTCCTACCTCTTTCTACTCTATCTGCCTACCAAATTTTTTTTTTTTCACTTTTCACTCTCGCTTTCATGCACGCACGCAGGAAGGAGGAGGCCCACAGGCTATGTCTGTAGCAGCTAGTCGCCCAATTTTTTTTTTCTCAGCTGAAGAGCACTGTGGATCCGCGGTAATGATGCTACTTTGGGGAACGGAAACAAACGAGCTGGATGAAACAGACACGTTTACTTACATCCCCCCATCATCTGAGATAACGAGCTGGCCTGCCCTGGGGGGTAGTGTAGCCGCGGATGAGGGTGAACCGTGAAGGTGGTTATGGGCGGATTTAACAATCACATCACACACACACATATGTACACCCTAACCCTGTGATGGGCGTGCGGCACTGATATTGAAGGATGCTGCTGACACGGAATTGTGAAACGGGAGAGTCTTTGCGCGCGATAAAGTGACGGGAGAGGGGACGGGAGGAGGGGGGATGGTGATATGGGTATTTGAGATGGCGTAGATAGAGTAGAGAGTAGAGTATGCAGAGTGTTCTATGTATATGTTGTGCTGATATGATCTGATGTGATACTGTACTGCAATTTTCCGATTAACTGATTGCTTTGCGGGGATTGTTAGTTGATTGTTAGTATGTAGTAATAGCAGAGAAGCTTCTGTAAATAATTAATTCTGTTCGAATATACTTCCTTTCTCCGGCACGGAAGTGTAACGCGAGATCGCAGACATTCTCCAAAACCACACGTCTCGGTGGCCCGGGATACCGTCAACCCGATTGCTGGAACAATTCCGAGCATCTACGTATGTACATACATGTAGTTAGTTCCCGCTTAGAACAATCTCTTCATATCATATCACTCTACAGTTGGTAAAATCACAGCGTCTCACTTCCCCACCCCCCCCCCAAAAAAAAAAAAAAAAAAAAAAAAAAAATCGAAACCGAGTGCCCCCTCATGAATCACTCGTTTCCACCACCACCACCACCACCCCCATTGGACCGTTGGACACCCCACTCTCGATCGTGAGTCCCCATTTTCGGCGAAATCGCCCCCGAGGCTGGTGTTCGCAACCGAAGAGCCGACCGAACATCTGTGAGTCCAGTCCTTGATTCCTGATTTTCCCACATCTCCAAGCATCCACAAGCAACAAGAGAGGATCATTGTTTACAAGCAGGTTAAAGCATGCCGGCGGAACGTCGGAACAGAGCCTCACCGGCAAATACTACAGTCTGGGCGGTAGGTCCATACCCGTTTTTTTCCTACTCTACATGTCATAATTCAATATGCAGTACTAGTAGTTGTGGTGGTCCCCTTAGTAGCAAGAGAAGAGAAGGCTAACTGTGTTTCCCCAGTGTACAGAATGCAAGGTATGTTTACCACCGTACCTTACTTTACCTTACATTACATTGCCTATGAGGTATCTCCCAAGTCGAGTTACCAAGGCTTATTCTCGACCGAACCCCATAACAGCGTCGAAAAGGAAAGGTACATATCTATGCAGAACAACCCAACCCTGCCTTCTCTATTTTCTGTTAGCTGACTTTGAGATCTTCAGTGTTCGGGGGAGACACCCTGCGCCTTCTGCCAGAAATCAAACCGAACATGCACATATGAGGCCCGGCCAGTCCGGCTTCCACTGACCAGAAAGTGAGTTTTTGTTCCTCTCCGGCCCACCCCCTCACTACCCCGCATTTCGGGGACCCGGGGCAGTGGCTAACATTGAGTGTGTGCCTGCCTGCCTGCCTTCCAGAAATCTGGACTACCTCCAAGCCCGATGTGCCAAACTCGAGACGCTTCTCCGGACGCTCGACCCCAGCATCGACATCGACGCGCTGCTTTCCAGCCCCGACTGCAACTCCTCCGACGATGGCGACATAGCTGCAGAGCAGTACGGCGATGGTGACCTGGAGGAGATGCTTCCCGAGAGCGAGAACGTCTGCGGGTTTGAGTGGCACGAGCGCGAGATCAACGAGCTGTCGGATGGCATGGCCAGTCTCAATGTCGACAGTCGAGACGTTGGGTACCTTGGTGGGTAGCTTTTCCTGCCACACCTCTCCCCCAGGGTTCTTGCTAACTCGAAGGTATAATACAGGTACCTCCTCTGGCGCTGCCCTCCTACGGACAGTGCATCGTCTGATTTCTCGACAGAGCAGTTCGCCGCAGCCGTTGTTGCTAACGCCTACACCGTCGATTTCGAGGATTGCGCAGAGCCTTACTACAACACTGACGGCGTCGTTCCTGATCGATGCTTATTTCGAACACTATCATCCATCGTACCCGCTTATCCATGAGCCTTCATTCCGGAATGCGTGCAATAACCTTAGCACGCTTCCGCCGTCGTCTTCGTTTCGGCTGGTACATGGAATGGTACTGACGCTTGGTGCGTTCACAGCATACGATGGTAGCAACGGTGATGAAATGGATGTCGATATGAGGATCTGGACTGCCGTCCGTGGCGGGCTGTCAATGGCAAGTATTCTCGAGTCGGGCACGCTGGAGCGTGTGCAGGCTCTTGCAATGATGGGGCAGTATCTACAGAAGAGGGACCGCCCCAATACGGGGTACAACATGATGGGCACAGCAGTACGGATGGGGTTCGGGTTGGGCCTGCATCATGAGGGTTACCGATGCGTGAGAGAGACACTGGGTCGGGAGCGTAGAAGAAGGGTTTGGTGGTTACTGTATATTTTCGACGTCGGCGCGAGTATTACGTTTGGGAGACCTGCAGTAGTGAGCGATAGGGCCTCAACAAGGATTCCGGCGAATGTGGACGATGCGGTACGTACCCTAGTATTCTGTTGTATAGTGGGCTTTCGTTTTAAGGGCCGGTGAATAGGGCCTCCGTGGAAAGATGATGCACTTATTAGGGTTCTGGACAATCCTCATAGGCCACTCACTCCCTTTTGTTCACTCACGCCGGTGCTATCCTCTTACTCGTGATGCCGAGGGGTCGATTATGATTTGATATGGCTCTCTGCACCCATCTCAGAACGCAATTGATCCCCCGGCATCTCCAGTAACAGGTACCCCCAGAAAGAGCCACCCCAAGACGAAAGTCCCTCTACACACTATCAAATTAAGATCACTAACTCAACCCTTCAAACAGGAACTCACGAGCCCCACCTCTCACCTCCCACCCGCAACAAGTGGCATAACGACCTACACCGCGATGATCGCCCACGCCTCCCTCGTCCGCCTCGCCGCCCGAATCCACAGCTACTTCATCTCCCGCCAATACCACAACCAGCTCTCGCGCGAGCTGGTCCACGCCTTCGACACCCAGATCCACACCTGGCACACCTCACTCCCACCCTTCTTCACCTCGCCCGCCGCCACGGTCCCCGCGTGGTTCCGCGAGCCGCGCGCAGTCGTGCTCTGGAAGGAGCTCAACCTGCGCATGATCATGTACAAGCGCTTCCTGCCGCTGCTGCAGAAGGGCAAGCGGCAGCTGCCCGACCGCGACGCGGCGGTGTGCATCTCGCTGGCGCTGGAGACCATCGCCAGTGTGCGCGAGTATGTAAAGGCCGAGACGCTGCGGCGGGGCGGGGCGTGGTACTGTACGTATTTTGTGTTTCAGGCGGCGCTGGTGCTGGTCATTGCGGTGCTGAGAACGGAGGAGCAGGAGGCGGTGTGGGTGGAGGGGTTGGAGAGCGCGGAGGTGTGTTTGGATGCGGCGAGAGGGTGCTTGGGGGATGGGGCGGGGAGGTGCTTGGATGTGTTGAGGAGGGTGGGGAGGTTGTGGAAGGGGGGCGATGAGGAGGTAGTGTTGGAGGGGAGTAGCAATTTGTTGGTGGGGATGGAGGAGTGGAGTGGCGGCATTGGAATGGATGGGTTAGGGATTGAGGGGATTGGGGGCTTCGATGCAGCAGATGCGGTGGATTTGGAGGGATGGATGAGTATGGCTGATCAGGGTTACGAGGACTTGTTGGATGCGAATCTGTTTACGAGTGACACGTGAGGATGGGTGCGGTTAAGCTGGACCGGGCCGGGCTGGGCAGGGCAGTAGAGTAGATAGTGTTCCTTGTGCTGTGTGTGATCTATCGAGTGATTCGCCATGACCCATTTAATTTCCATAGTTGATACCGTGCCAGTGATATAGAAATCCCCACAAATATTTAAACCTAACTACATGATTTCGTTGTAACTAAGAGTACTTGATCTATAAACTGCATGTCTAAATTGAGGCCGAAATTCCACCTACAATCACCAAAGGTTAACAAGATACCATAAAGAAAGAAAGGACCATTCAATACGTACCATCAACCTTGATATCTGTCCCGGTGATAAACTTTCCAGCATCACTACAAAGCAAAATTACAGTACCGTTCAACTCATCAACACCCCCGATTCTACCCAACGGCGTCCTCTCAATCCATATTTTCCGATGGTCATTTAGCCCGTCTCCTTCATTCAACACAGTATTCATATATCCTGGCGAAATTGAGTTTACCCTGATGCCATAGCGCCCCCACTCCGCCGCTAGGCTCTTGACCATCATTAGCACGCCGGCCTTGGAGACATTGTAGTTGACATGCGGCTGCGGGAAGTTCGCTGCATGGCCGGAGATCGATGCAATGAGCACTATCGACCCCCCACGACCACCCGCTTCCATCGCCCTATCAGTCAAGTCAGTCATATTAGACCTATAAGCCAAGGGCAACCCCGCATCAATAGCAGATCAAAGCTCATACTTAGCAGCCGCCTGCGCACAAATAAACGACCCCGTCAGATTAACATCCAGCACCCTCTTCCACGCAGCCTGACTCATATCAAGCGCATCTTCAGACTTCACAATACCCGCAAACGCAACAAGTATATCCACACCACCCCACACTTTCACCACCGCATTGACAGCCGTGGTCACGGCTTCTGTGTTTGTCACGTCGACTGCGGCGAAGGTCGCGGTGCCTGTTGGATAGTTGTTGCGTAGAACTTCTGCTGCGGCCTCGCCGATGGTGGCGTTTATGTCTAGTAGCACGACTGCCGCTACACTGTGCTCGAGGAGCGCGCGGCAGGTTTCGAGGCCGAGACCGCCGGAGCCGCCGGTTACTGGTGGATGGGTGGGTGTGTGGTCAGTGAGTGGGTTTGTAGATAACGGGAAGGTCACAGAATGGGTGGATGGGGAGATCAGATATTGGATATGTACATACCAATAGCCACTTTTCCCTTAAGAGAGAAACGTGCTGATGCTGCGCTCTCTCCTTGGACGTTGTCCTTGTCCTGTGGTTGGAAAGGTGGTGGGGGTGCCGTTGGGCGGGCGAATTCTATTTTTGGGACTGGGGCGGACATTGTGGCTTTTGGATGGTGTGCGGCGGTGATATGCGGCAGTGAGGATTGTTCGGCGTTCTGATTATTTGTGGGTTCGGAGATATCGCGGTGGGGCTGGTATAGAGGGGTATGATTGATGCGTATATATATACTCATCCCCCGCGGGCCTATGTATGCGGACGACGGTGCGCCGTACTCTACTCCGCGCACCGTAATGAGGTCTGCATGGTCATCTGCAGCATATGCCCCATCTGATATCTCGCAGTGTTAATTGCGGGGTAGATGGTGAAAGTAATATGTAGGATTGGTTTTGCTTAAAACCGAGAATGTTTGGTGGCCGTGCATATGGTAGCAATATGCAATTCGATATCATAAATTAGAAACCGGACTGACGATCTTCGACAATTTGTATGCTCTTTTGTGGCAAGATACCAACGATTTGCTCCCGTAATCATAAGTAATATATGTGTTGCATAGGGCTAGGCTTGGTGTGTCATGGTATATCACTCGAGTACAATATGTTATTAGTTGATATATACTGGCATGCAGCCCAAAGGCCATGACGGCGCATCAAGAAGCCACACTCTGTCCAGGTATTGTGACCATGTAGCTAGGGAAAACTTCCAAAAATAGTTCGTTTAAGAATCAGTGTGGGACGGGCACGGAGGGCTGGAGGATATGAGAACACAAGTACTACCGCTTGGTCAGTACTATGTTTTTGTTTATTATTTTTCTTTGTTACATCATTGATTGTGGTGAGTGTGTTGAGTTCAGTACATACATAGTACTACGGGTTGTATGCGAGTCTGCCATACATCACGTGTACTATGATTCATATTAGTAGTGTTTGGTATGGGTATATGTATATAACATAGAACAATGGATATTTCGTACTGAGTCTAGTTAAGTAGATTTAGGTCTAAGAATATCGGTAAATGCTTCTGAACAAAGTAGGTAGTTCGATCGGATGAAGGGTTCTGACCAGCCCTGTGACGTGAGTTTACTCGTGTCTCTGGGGGAAGATGCACTTTCTGTGATAGTTGAATAAACGGTGGTGACCTTGAAGAGGTAATAATGAAGGAGACGATGGAAGTCTTTGTGGTTGCTTGGGAGTTGAAGAGGGCTGAATATCGATTCCAGCGTACATCGTATACGTGTTACTAAAAAGTTATACACATGACAGGTGTGTCCTTTACTGATGTATGTAACACAAGTCTAAGTTCGTTTTATATACATACATGTACATAGTACAAGTAGCCCTAAAGCTTTCGGTTCTGCTAAAATGATCGACCACGGTACATGTAAGCCGTACTTTAAGCGGTGGAGAAAAGCGGCAATGGCGAAGACTGATATGACTTCATCAACAAGGATATGTAAGTTATCACGTAACGGAAGTTAACATTGAAAACAGGCTTGAATGAATCAATGAAGATAAAAATACACCCCAATCAGTAATGTATCACTGAAAGTTGATAATTTTGAAAAAGCTCAATTATTCAATCAATTTTTAGTAACTCAAGCGTACTTGGTCTAACGGTTATGATTTTCGCTTCCCAAGCGGGAGAACGGGGTTCGACTCCCCGAGTACGCATATAGTATCTCGAGATCCTCCTGGTTTGACGTCAGGGTATTCGACGAGGTATTTTGAAATTTTTTATTGTGCATGCTTGAGAGTTGGTTGGTAGGATGTAGTTCCTGGGATTTCTAGAACAAGGGTGCTGCAAACCTTTAATATTGCTATGTATATGTAGTGTCACTGCAATGTTTTGGCTAGATAGTCCCGCTTTGATCCGGTATTTTCACACAAATATGTACATATTTCTGGGCAATTTCCTGAGATACTTATACGCTCACTATATATACTAAATTATCTGATAAAATAAGCATACGTTATGCATATCAAAGGTAGCATTCAAAGCCTGGCCTGTCATATTCAACTCAGACATATAAAATCTGTACATACTAGTGAAATTGAGCTGAGATTAGCATAGTCGAACATTCTGCCACATGGACCCGTGTTTCACGACCAGGTATCTATATAGATTAATCCCCGAAACAGAGTCAGAACTGATATACCATAAGACATCACTCGGGGTTTTCTTGGGTATGTTCTTCATCCAATTAACGAGCCAGATATTGTAGACGAACGTCGATGAGCGGCCATGAACGGCTCTTTAATTAGTGTCTTTCGTTGATTACTTCATTCACTCTAGCCCGTGTGGCGAATGGTGGATAGGAGGGTCACTAGCTAGAACACTCATCTCACTGACAGTTAACGTAAAATAAGAACCTGCGTTGCAATTGGTTTATATAACTCTCGAATTGGAATTCCTCACTAGCAGTAATTATTAACCGTTCGAATGGGGAGGGTGTTCAAGTGGTGCGATTCATGATTCATAGTTTCTGCTAAGGTCGACCGTATCCAGGCGCATATAGGAGTCTCATAGGGATAACTTTAAGTGACAAAAGTTTTGGCTAGAGGTTTGATGTGGTTAGCTTTTTCGTTGCATCTGTCAACTTCAGCTTCTGGTAAATTTAAGTGTCTGCGTACCACAAGAGGAGCTTTACTGCTACAAAACTTCCTCGCTGGCGCCGGCGGCGGTAGTCTAATAGACGAGCCAGTTCGAGTTAAATTTATAACTCATGGTATTATCGGTATGAAATTTCCGTCCTAAATTCCTGGCAGGCTAAGTTTGTCTAATTTAGTATAACTAATTCATCACAACAGTTGATTCTCGGTTGAGGATCGTTAGAGCCCTTACCAGAAATCGAGTCGATACAAGTTTGCCCTTGGTGGGTGTATGTACGGGTAGGTTGGCGGTAGGCTCAGGCCGGATTTGATAGCTCTGGCTCGATATTGCCGGATAAGGCGAGCCTCAATTAAAAAAACGATGAGGCAACTCGATGTATCTGCATACGATAGGGCCGTACGTGGGCCACGCTGGCCTTATGGTACTTGTGGAACTTGTAGTTTAATTCCATCCCTAACCCTTTGCCAAGCATGCCAGGACCGGCACAACCCGGCTTAAGACCAGATCTAGGATATCTTTGAGGATATATTTGGTGGCTTACTGACTTATAAGTTCCGTTCGTGAGTATGAGGCGGAGTTATGGTATTGTAGGGGCGGGGTAGTTTGCTAACTTCCGGAACCTTCTCTCCGCATTGAACGACTTGGCTACCTAAGGTGATGGTAGGTTCCCATCAATTTACAATACCGTCACTTATAGATGAACAGCACCTCATGCCGCGTGAAATTCCAAGTTTTTACATCGATTGCTTTCGAAGTTTTTTATTTATATGTAGTAAAGAGCATATCTTCTAGCTAATACAAGTATACAATCGAGTGAGCGAAAGTATGCGTAGTATTAAATACTGTGATAACCTTCAAGGTCCTACTCATATTGCGGCTCCTCCTCATTCTGAGGCCCGCCCTCATTCTGAACTCTGATAACCTCGCCATCCTTGCTGGTAATCCTCTGGATCCTCGAGTCTTTCGGGTGGGTGGGGTTCGCGATAGCGACGGCACCGGTACGAATCCTGTTCGGGAGGCCTTCGAGGCTGTCTAGGGCGGGGGCAGGTCTGCACTCTACCGCAAGGGCGGCGAGAGCGATGTAGAGAAGAAATAAGGTGACGGTGGTAATATACATGATGGATGGACTTTTGTTTTGATGGTAAGGACAGGAATGGTGGTGATATCGATGTGTGGTGGAGGTGGGGGAAGAGGGGTAGAAGAGTTTGGTTGGGGTACAAATAAGTGTTGAGTCATCGGTTATATTTTTATCTATTGTTTGGAAAGAATTACGTCGTTATTAGAGTTTCACTAGTGTGGGATGGGTTATAAAGAGAATTCATGTTGGAAATATCATTCCTAGTCTGATTGCCAAGACACTAGCTAGACGATCGAATGAGAAAATATCTGCAACTCCATTTTATTTCGAGACTCATTAAATGTAGAGGATAATTGTGATTTTATATTTCAGATATGTTCTAATTTGGGATTCACAGATGACATGATAACGGACTCGCTAATCGAGGCGGAGTTGTGTTACTTTAAATCATGCAATTGTATCATTCCCCATGCATGCCACAATGTGCCAGGTCTCCTCAAATCAGACAAATACTGTAAATATATAGTTTTATAGTCGATAAGATTGATACAGTAATCTTCTACATGCAATATAGAAGCCCATTTGAAGTGGTCACTCATAATCGCGATGAAACAGGGAGGAAGCCAAATCACAAAATATCACTCGCATGACATGCTAAAGATGCTAAATCACTTATCACCACCACAACGGTCTACCGATGGGCTGTAAAGTAGATATAGATCAATGGGGCCGCCAGGGTGAGCTTGGGCGTCTAATGCGTACTCGAACTGCGCCATTCAGACTCGTAAACCGGTCTTTTAAGCTCTGCTTGAAGGGGGGATCGATTGCGCAGGGGCTGCGCAGGGGAATAGTAATAAACAGTCTCTAGAGTAGACCAAGTCAGTATTGATACTACATGTAGATGTGGTACTGGTATAATACGCGGCCCTTTCTCAGGGAAGGGGGTGCATTTAGCGACATGCATGCATGGTGCTCGCATTGACAGAGCTAGAGTTGGCCGTGCCATTAATTACTTACCCATGGCCAGCCTTCCCCGGGACGCGGGGAAATCTGCTATTCTCTTGGCTTAATTACTGCCTCTCTTAATGTGACTGGACCTCTCTCTCTCTCTCTCTCTCTCTCTCTCATACTCTCCCCTAATCTCCTATCTATTCCAAAAGCCACCCTCTCCATCCCCTTTACGTGTGAAAGCAACTCACTTTCCCGTACAATGATGGTCTATCACTTCATATTTATTTTTTCCATCCCTCTCGGTAGATTTTCTTTAAATTGGTTTGTTTTCTCTTGCCTTAATGGCATCTTTTCACCTGTTGTTTGACAACACCATTCTCTGCGGCTGTCCTGCTGCTCACCTTGAGGGTTTTATCCCTCAGCTGCATCGTGATCCCACGATCAGCAACAGCTTCATCACCACCGGCCTCGGGCTGACTGCAACGGAGTTATCAAACTCGCTGCATTGGTCGGCCTTGGGCTGACTGCAACTGAGTTATCAAACTCGCTGCATTGGTCTGCCCCAGGGCCGGGGGCAAGTATTCTTGTAGGGCATATGTACTGCAATCAGGTATGTCTTCATGTCTATAAACAGCTCACCTCTGCTTCCACTCATGCCAATGTTTACCAGCCGAAATGCTCGGCCCTATGGTGTATAGGGTCGTATCAAAGAGCAAGATATCATCGAGCTTGCCTGTACCTGTGCTGAACTATATGGCTCAAGGTCGGGGTTCCAGCAGATAGTCGTTAATACCTCAGTAAGTACAATTAACCCCTCTTTATGAATGTCATCAGCGAGAGTATTGGACTAATGAAGTTATTAAACTACATATAGTTCCTCGCTATATTCATATAGGCATGTGTACTGCACACATCAGGCTCGGGCTGGGGCAGATGACGTTAGAAATGTAAAAAATGCTTTTCCCGCATGGATATTCTCTATGGGGGCATGCTACTAATAAGAACACGGGAACAGATTTCTGCCTCGCTCTTGTAGGGCGAACGTACTGCACTACCTCGATGGTCCATAGGAGGTTCTTGATATTCCAGGTGTAAGTTTCCTTTATAATTTAGAAATATCGGCCACCTAGTGAATATTTTACTAATAAGAACATTGGATTATATAGAACTGGAGGATGTTCTTGTAGGGCGAGTGTACTCCGCTATCTCAGTGGCCCCCAGAGAATTATACACCGAAGTCGGTATTCCAGGCGTAAGTGTTCCTTTAGAAATATCCACTCTGTGAATATTTTTACTAATAAGAATGTGGGATTAGGACTGGAGAATATTCTTGTAGGGCGAGTGTACTTCAATCCCTAGTTAATCCGAGAATAAGAAATGCTCGAGAAGGTATGTATAAGCACACTTATACGAATATTATTTACCAGAATATTTTGCTGATGAGATTAATATGAGTCTAGATTTATACACTGATGGCATGGCGTGTGCGTCCGTTTTCTGGCCCCAAGGGCCATTCCTTTCATAGGAACAGGAAGTTTGTTTTCTGGTCCGAAGGACCACTAGTTCCCTACACTGGTGGGGAGTGTGATTCCTGGCCGTCTATAACACGGGTGGGAAACCAAATCACATATCTTCGCTCGCTTTATGGCGTCGCAACCCCATGTAAGTTAAAATTAATAGAAATCGATAGTTTTACCTCACATTTGCTGATAGAACTGGCTATATAGCTGGAAATGATGAGAGGGGGTGTTTGGGGGGGGGGGGGGGGGTCGCGAGGGGGGTGGCTGCTTAATTCTTTTTCTTAAGCTTATAAATAAATGCAAAACTAATCTTCGTGGTATCAGAAAATATGAGCTTTGTAGTTTTTGATTTCTTCGAGTGATGTGATTGATATCTGTATATGAGAATTGTACCAAGCCAAGAACCCACCCAGGTAAACACGAGCATTGTATCGATTATCTCCACTCCATAGGTCTTGGCGCTATAGTGCTATCTCTGTTATATATGAATGAATTATCAATCAGTCAAACGATTATCTCTATTATGTATCCCCTGTACTCGCATATCAAGTATGTATTTGCGCAACCAGCAAAACACACACAGAATCCAGAGAGCTTTCCCATCTCCCCTAAAATTATGTGTCTTCTATCTAGACACTTAAAAGACCTACAGGCCACTTTTAGGCCATATCTACAAAGAACAAGCCCTGAAGGTGAAATGTGTCTAAAAGGGTCCTTTTATGGTATTGCAGGGTGACAAAAATAACTACGCACCCAAATTTGTATTGTAAAATAACGTTTTTTGGGCCTAGCTACTTCAAACATACCGCCACAAATTTCATATCAGAAAGACGAAATCTCCCAAGCCCCAGAATTTTAGAGATATTGTTATCTCTCTGATATCTTGTATACTCATGAAGTTACAAAGAATTAAAGTTGTCAATTTTTGTATGGTTGCCGTGTGGATTACTAACAAAAAGGCCGAACTTTGAAGTATAGCTATTGCGTAACTATATAGGCTGTGAGAGACATAAGTGTATATGGGGGTTTCTAGAGCTCCAAGGATCTTTCCTGTAGGTTATCAAGTTAGTGGTCGCATTTTCGGAGTGGTAGGTCTAGGAAGTACTCTTTTCCAATATAAACTTTGGTGCGTAGTTATTTTTGTCACCCTGCAATACCTTTACCAGTATCTCAATTGGGCCAAGAATTTGAAGCATGGACCTCCTTTATCAAAATTATACTATACTTGGTCGTTGATATTTTGGTTTAGGTGTGGGACTTTTTATGAGTTGTTGAAAACCTCGATTTTTGGTGTGTTTTGCTGGTTGGGCAAATACATAATTGATGTGCGAGCATATTAACGCGATAACGCCGAGTGATGAGTCATGATGCCGACGCCTTCTTATACTTGTCATGTGGAACAGATCAGATGAGAAAAGGGCTAGTGAAATGGTAGTAACATTTTTCAAAGTGATGGGATGATGGCGCGGTGTATAAAAAAGTGACTATAAGCCAGAGGGGGGTGGAATTGGGGGGAGGGGGGGGAGGAAGGAGGATCTCATCTTGCCACGTTTCTGTTTTGCTCAGTTAATTGGTCAACATACGCAGAAGACTTTCTGTGCTTGCTATCTGATATAGGTACACTCTCAACAACAAAACGCAGTAACACATCTACCACCTCCGAAAAACCCCTTGGTAGAATAGCATCACGGATAACAGGGAATTTCTGGCCAACCATGCAACTAGGCCGTCAAACTAACCTTCTTTAAACCAAGAACTACCCCCTTGATCCCGCACAATTGGTAACATCTTGATAGTGTTTTGAAAAACGGGCGACACGCCTGATCCGTATCGTAGAATAAAGTTATGGCTAGAAGTACCAATGGAAGCATCAAAGCTGGTGCGAATATCGTCCGACCTGAGTTGTAGTTTTGGTTCAAATTCAGTAAAAACTACCTCGTCCTACACCGTTGATTGAAAATCTCTAGGGTGCAGATCACTTGACGGAAAAGCATGATGCTTTCAATGGCCAACCTTCAGGTTCGACACGTCCAATATTACGTCCGCTATGATAACATAAAACGGACTCCTTCGAATTATCAATACATATATATCTCCTGGGTATGTATTCCAGGGACCTCACGGCGTGAATCATTGGATTACTCCTATGGTTTTGATCCTGAATCCAATCCATATCAGATGCAGCGTTCATAATTCAGCACACCACAATCTGATTTCATACCAACTTCTCGATCCCCCCTCACCGAGATTAGGATAGAACGAGCTTTGTTTATCCCTCCGCCGGTTGGCCGCCGCAGACGTTTGCGTATATACATGACTAGAGTACATGTTAGTCTCTTACACAGCCCGTTACTTGCATGCAGCAAGCTGCACACTACATGTATACATAACGGGCTGGCCAAGTACGTCACGTCAAGCAAGTACGATTAAGCTTAAACTTTAAATTACAAACTTACGCCAGAGATACATGTACATGCAATTGTATACGAGCTGCAGGATTCCGGGCAATTCTAAACGTTAAGGGTCTTCAATTGATCGAAGGATCATATCAATAAACCGGCCTATTCAACGATAAATGACAATCACTACTTGTTTTGGGTAGTTAAAGTAGTTGGTTTAATAAGTCCTGTACTTTACTCTACTCTGGGTAACTTAGTTGTCATGCCAAGAAAGCTTATTTTTTTTCGTGAGCTCTCCTCTTGATAGATATCGTAGGCGGGGGCGTCGGGGCGTGTTGGGAGCGTTGGCCCGCCAAGACAGAGCTCAATATTGGCCGGTTGTGGCCACTCTACACTTCCTTCCCGTGTAGCACGCTCGGGAACACCAGGATGAAAGCCCATCGGGACTCTAGATTGTATTGCGCATTTAATACGTTTTATTAATCAATCAATCCAGCATGGCTTTGCAGTGCAAGAACCCTCCCGCCATAAATTCAGGACTGCATCGTACCTTAAACATAGAAGAGGCTTCCTGCCTGCATAACAAAGTCCGGACGTCATGTTTCAGGTATGTATAGAGAGTTTGTTTTTGTTTGCTGCAAGCCCTCCACGATGGTGGAGTGGAGTGTAACGAGGATATTGATCAGTTTGCTCCCGGGCCAAGCAGTGCCAATTATCGATATCTGCAATACCCACTCGATCGACTCCAGATCCCTATCTCCCAATCACCCCAACCGGCCTCAACCCTGCCCACTCCCATCGCTCTCCACTCCATCTATCCATGCCTTGACCACTGTTCAAAGCTCAGCCACCGCCTCCATGCAGCACAGACACCTCGATTCGAGCATAGCACTGATTCAGAGTCGTACCAGCAACTCGGCTTGCCCGATGATGGGCTAGCGAGACGAGTATCCGAGCCAACGGTACTGAGTCGTTTGATGATGCATTGATTGTGGGCTTTGTCAAAGGCAGGTTGTGGAAAGAAGTTAGAATTGGCAATAGCGGGAGGATAGTAGACTATCCGTCCGTGGATGATGGAAGTTTAGAAGAGAGTCAAGCGTTTTGATTGCAGTCTTGTTTGTCTTTGATCCCCTTTCTTGAACTTCTTCATACTAATGCCTAAGCAGTTTGATTCCTAACCGAGGGGACGGACGGTACATTTTTCAAGATCTAGCCCTATCAGATATTAGGCAGGAGAAAAAATGATGCAAAAAGTCGACAACGTTTGTCTCTAGTTCCTGCGCCGGTAAAAACAGCGGCTTCCTGTGCCTGCGTGCGGTGTGCCTGCATAATCGAAGGGACAAAAACTGTCTCACCTGGTCCAGCCACAAAGAAGGAAAGAACAAGCTCCTCTGCCGCATCGAAATTGTGCCAAGGGCAACGTCTAGCCAGGAACGAGCGCCACATTTTCCTACCATCCTACCACAGCGCGCGCGAAAAGGGATGAAGATACTCTGGTCTTGGTACTCTTCCTACCGCTTTTGTTTGCGTTGTACCCTCCCTCTGCCCCATACATCCGATGGCACAGAACCAGCTCGTGCTGAACGTGGTACAGATAAGATTTTCTCATGGGCATGGAGAGAAGACAGGGGTGAGCTTATTATGATCTACCGATATTCATTGTACCACGCTGGACGGAGCCGGAACTGGATAAATATTGCAAACCTAGTGATATTCCATAGGAGGAATGGTGAATGCGAATCATTGATGGAAACGAGAAGTTGTAATTCAGCACAGTTTCGGGGGCTTACAATCTCCCCCTTATGGCAATTTTGGGTGTGGGGGGGAGGGAAGGTTCGGTACCTTTCTGATGCCCAATTATTCATGTGGCTGACTGGAGATAGGCTAGACACAAGTGGTGGAGGTTTAGTTGGTTTTCTAGCCGCATTACTGGCTGTTATACTCCTGCCAAGAACCGGGACCTGATGTTCTTTCCGGGGCTCGAACTAGTCAGTCAGTTCGCTCAGTTGGTAGTGGAATTTGAAGATATATTTAAAGAGAATCTCCCGCCATATTTCGACTTTTCTCGAACTCCACCGCATCCAGCAGCGCAGCCAGTCACTCTTTCCTGGCCTCCTTCATTCGTTTTTGACCTCCAATAAAATAAATATCCTATCTAGGATAGTTCTATCGTTAATATAATATATATCTCTCTATCTCTAATAAAGATGACATACAACTCTAAATACTTCCTCAGCTTCGCAGCTCTTGCGTTTGCCACCACCAATGCCCTTCTTGTCACCCCGACCGACGATGCAACAGCACTAGCTAATGCCGTGCTCGGCCCCGGTATCACTCTCGTCTCAGCTACATACAGTGGAGCTGTCGGCAGCTCCGGCACCTATACCGATGGACCGCTGGGTATCCGCGACTCCATCGTTATGACCTCAGGGAATGCAATCGACACCGTCCCCGGACCTGGTACCAGCGGAGAAATATCCAAAGACCGTAGCACCCCCGGTAGTGCACTCTGCCAGTCCCTCAACGGCGGCGTACAAACGTACGACGCTGCGGTGCTCAGCATGGACGTCGTTCTCGACCCCGCTTATTCAGGCTTCTTCACGGAGTTCGTCTTTGCCAGCGAGGAGTACCCCGAGTGGGTGGGTAGCGACTTCAATGATGTGTTTGGCATCTGGATCGACGGTAATCAGATTGCGGCGGACTCGAATGGTGCCCTGATCACCATCAACGGGGGTTTCTTCTCGAGTGGGAATGTGGTGACGCCGCCGGCTTCGGGGTCGAGCTTTGATGGATCTACGCCGTTGCTGAGGGCGGGCGGGTCGGTGATAGCTCCGGGTGCTCACACCATTCAAGTGGCTATCTGTGATACGGCAGATTCGCTCTTGGATAGCTCTGTCTTTCTTACCCTGGGGGCTTGCACGGATGCCGAGAACTGCAAGACTGGAGCTGTTGTCGCCCCGCCGGTAACATCGACTTCTACAACATCGACCTCAACCACCTCTACGAGTGTGATATCAAACACCACTATCGTTGCCTCGGTCACGACAGTCCCTGTTAACACTAGCACTGTTGTGCTTCCCCCCATCAGCTCTATCATCCCGACAACTAACGTTACGCTCCCCGAGGTTACAAGCACCACTGTCACCGCTGTCCTGCCCATCGGCACAAACCCCACTGCTCCAATTGTCACGGGCCCCACCAGCTCCGTGCACACATCCAGTGTGACTGCCCCATACGGCAACAGCACTATCATTGTTCCCCCAACCGGCACTGGAAGCAGCGTCGTTGTTGCCCCAACTGAGATTAGAACCAGCATCACCGCCGCCCCATTGCCTACCGACGAGGAGGGAGCCCCATGCGTGACGTACACCTCCTACATCACCAAGACCCTCACCAAGTGTGATCAGACCGCCTGCCACGCCACCACAACCGTCAAGCCTACAGTCGTCACCTCAACCCTGCACCTGACCGTCTACACTCCCTGCTCGACCGTCACCGTCAGCAAGTGCGCGGGCTCGGACTGTGTGACTTACACTAACACTGTCACGTACCCGGCGGTCACTGGATACCCCCCAGTCCCGACCTTTGAGGCACCTGCCCCGTCCACCGTGACCCCTGTCTCTGCTTGCACTCCGGGTGTGAACTGCCCCCACGTCCACCCCGCTTCCTCTTCAGGTGTTGTTGTCCCATCCGCTCCAGTTGTCGGCGCACCAGGCGCTCCCGCTTCATCTGCGGGCGTTGCTGTCCCATCTGCTCCTGCCGCCTGCACTCCTGGTGTCGACTGCCCCCACGGTCACCCCGTCTCTTCTGAGGGTGTTGCTGTCCCATCTGCTCCTGCTACTGGCGCACCAGGTTCCCCGGCTACATCTGCTGGCATCGCTGTTCCGTCTGCCCCCAGTGCCCCAGCTTCCTCTGCTGATGTCGCCGTTCCGTCTGCTCCTGGCGCTCCGGCTTCATCTGCGGACGTTGCTGTCCCATCTGCTCCATCTGCATGCACTCCCGGTGTCGACTGCCCTGACCCGGCTTCTGTCACCGGAGGCCCAGTAGTCTCCCCTGTGGCAGTTCCCGCCGTCCACAACACAACCACCGTCTCCGCTGTCAACAGCATCACCTCCACCAGCTCTTCCACCAGCTCTTCCACCAGCTCTTCCACAAGCTCTTCCACAAGCTCTTCCACCAGCTCTCACAGCACCACAACCACCAAGACCACAACTCACCCAGTACAGCCCACCACTACACCTGCCGGAGCCCTCTTTGAGGGTGCCGCCAACAGGGTACAGGGTGCCGCCGGTGTGATGGTTGGATTGATGGTTGCCGGGTTCGTGGCTCTCTTCTAGAGTAATGTAGAGTAGGATAGGGTAGTGGTCTTTTTTTATTTAGTATATTGGCGTAATGCTTGATGGTGATGTGTTTTTTTGTTTTGGTTTTTGGATTGAGAAGGGATTTGAGGAGAGGGAAGGGGAGGGTGGTATATGATTTAATTATTATGGCCCGAGGGAGGGGCAGGGTTCTTGAATAAATATTTATTTTTGCTTTTTTCGAACATTTTGGGCTTTGACTCTTGAGAACTTAGGCTAGAGGCTAGAGTGATAATAAAGACAAGTTGAATTTACAGAAGGATATGTATTGCTGTAGCTCGTTACGCTGTGAAAAGACTCTATAGTTCCCGTAACTACTACTATCTCTAGAACCGCCAGAGGTAGAAGAATCTAGAGAAACCGTGGTGTAGCATATCGTCACATGACCGAGTGATATCTCATGATTAGTGTTTTAAACCTAGGTTCCAGACTGAGCGAGCCTAAGAAAGGCCAATATATTTTCGGGAGCTTGCGATGAGATCTTAGTAGCTATCTATATAAGCCTTTATATATTATATGAACCGAAACTCTGCGTAGTGACAGGCTCGACAAAAAGTCGCCAGACTTCCCCCCACCGCAGTGCTCCTGGGGAGAGTTTTCCATGTACCCGGCGCCCAAATGGGGCATGCGGACTGGTGATGGAGTGTGGCTAGGTATGAGTGCTGGCCTTGAGCCGGTTGGGGTATTCCACATCCTGCTGAAAGGAGCGACTAGTAGGCATAAAGGGTGAAACCCTGTACTTGTACTGTAGATTGAGTGCTCCGCCATAACCGACAGGTTGCATGCGAGTATGAATTAAACAAACAAAAAAAAAAAAAAAAATCCCCCCACCGCAGAAAACGTCAATATTGGTTATGTATTTACGTTGATCTGAGCTTATGAGTAAGCGTCTAGCTTGAGGCGCTTGGTATATACAGGGGTTAAGGGTTTTCATGGGGTTTGTTGCGTGGCCAGGGTTAATTCTGTTGGTTTCGGGGTTTGTATATCAAGCTGTTTTTAGTGGTAGGCACGAGACAAGAATATAATAACAAGAGACTTGCTTTAACCTCACCTCGTCTTGAATCTTGGATGTGGTTAAAAAAATCCGGACCGAGTAGGTGTTGCGCAAAGTCTCGAGACCATAGATCATTCCAAATATATTCAGGGCTAGGGTTCATACACTTAAGTTGACCTACGTATGTATATTGCAGGTATGCGGTCCGCCGCCTCTCGAGACCGTCCAAGGACATGCACATGTAGCTTTGGGAGGTTGATCAGCTTACCTACCTATGTATGGGTATCGCCTTTAGCTTGTATCGTCGACCAAGAAAACAAAGTCTCGGGAACTTAACTTTTTGTCTTGTATATGCCCCATATGCATCACCAACGTCTAGCTGTTTCCCGAGGCTGGTATGTGTGTTTTGTGTGTGTATAGAGATATATATGGTCTTCTGATAGTTTCTGTCTGGATTAGGACTTTGGTTATCTCCGCTGGCTTGGGTTTGTGAGTCTGAGGTATTGCGAGTGATAGTCTGTGATCCAATTATCCGAGTCCCATCCAGGCAGGAAGGAGTTGTTGTGGGAGTGTAGTTCACTTGATAAATTAAGGGGTTTTATTGTTCCTGGGCTGGGATTAGTGATTAGGGGTGGCATGCGCAGCTGGTACGTGGTGTCTTTGGGTGTGGTGACTGCTTGGGTATATGTATTGATGGTGGGCGTTAATTGGTGGTTGAGAGAGAGGGGGGGGGGGGGGGGGGAGAGGCTTTTCTATGGTGTGTAGGTAAATAGTGTTTAGAAATAAATTTTGGTATTCTATCGCGCGGCGGTCAGGCCCAATTAGTATCTGCCAGGTTAGCCAGAGAAAGGCAGGCGTGGTGGGGGGTGCGCCTGGAATCACAGATATCCTCACACTAATATCATACAGCAAATACGTTATCGATATCTTGTTAGATAGGAATGGGGTGGGTGTGACTGCGGATTTAATTATTCACTTCCATGTTTTTTTTAATATCACGAATTCTATATATATATAGTTAATTAACATGTATAACTAATTGGGCCGGCTGACCGCCGAGGGGATTCGATACATGTATGTATTTCAAAGCATTCGCTTTAATTTTGGACGGCTCATGCGGTTTCGATATTCTTGGCGGATTAAAACACAGGTTTTTGTGTGCACGCATGCATGCTGGCTCTTGAATTAATCCATCCAGCTGGGGGAGCAGATACAGGACGCTGCCCACCCACCCACATATCCACCCAACCGCCAGCTGCAGGCGAGAAAGCGGGAGTAGGGACTCCGCTACCCCGTACACACATGATGTGCTCGATCTGCAGGATGAACGCTATCTAGTGCCGGGGTTATATTGTGTATCCCTATTCCAAGGCACTGAGAGCTAGAGGGATTCTACAGTAGCCATACATCTGTGCACAGGTGTTTGAGTACCCCCCCGCCCCCAATACTCCTCCGGCCTTCTCCTGTGGACAGTGGTGAAAATCTGCCTTAGACCCTTGACACTGCATGTAGATATAGCGGATGTTATTACGTTCACTTAGGTTATATCACGCGGAGGAGATGGATATAAAATTTAAAAGACGTTACATTCCCTACGAGGCAGTATTTGGCCTGTTTCATGTACTCCCAACCGGGTGCTTACTTCGGTTTGTCGTCCCGCTGGAGTTGAGTACATAGAGTAGGGTGGATCGACTGGGCAGGAGGGATCGATCGACCGGTTTGGTGAGAGGATTGAGATGTGACGCTGCTGCTGTGTATTAAAGGCGCCCATATATATTGGATGCATAATTCGAAATGATAATCAAAGCGAAACCGGTTCTGAAGCGGTAGACTGCGATTGGTTAACGATTGATTTATGTCTCTTGGGGGCGGTGCTACCTGAGAGGATCCCCATTTTACACGCGTACGTCGGAGTGAGTGGTGTTGGACCCCCCTTTCGTGCCATGGATGCGTAGTTCTGGCTTTGGGTCGGTTTGGGAGACGTGGGGGTTAGTTGAAGAGGCGTGAATGGTGTTATAGCTGGTATCTATGGTGTGGTATACTTGGGGTATTGATATGATGGTGTTCTAGTTGATCCGCCGTTCGAGCGGCATTAATGCTAGTCGAGGTGAAACTGATGCTTGTGACAAATTATTGCTTGTTGTTGACTTGCCAACGTTTCATTCTGTAGTTTGGATGTGGTCTCAAAACTATAGCTGTATCTGTACCTCTGTCTTGAGAGAAAACTGTCCTCTAAACTGTAACTATAAGTTCAGGGATAAAGCTTCTCCTCCTAAGCTTTCTTTGTTCAACTATTGCTTCAACGTAGCTGCAGCGGTTTTTACACACGATTGACTTTGCAATTTGTCCATTGGCTCTCGTCTGCTTTAGGTCTATAGATATCAGTTATAAGAAAAGGAACTGGGCTAAACTGGACTAAAGTAGTCTTGCCTGAATACAGCTATCGGTAAAGTATTGGGGGATCCTGTCGGGGGTACATTGATCGATGGATCAATTTATCTTCTCTGCGCCGCCTGGTGGCCATCAAGGTGTTAGAATAAGGAGTGACATATATGGCTGCGGGTACGTTCAAGAATGGAGTCATGCGCCTTGCCTGGTATACGTATATGTATGAGATTGATATTGGGGTTGACATTGGGGGTTGATTAATTGATTGTTCCAGAAATGATCCCAGGGATGAGGCGGAGTACAAATATTTCCCATACTTTCTCCTACCACAACGGACAATATTAACGTGCTGAGATGTTTAGAGTTTAGAAAATACTCGCCTCGTCAACTCCCGAAGTCAAACGGAAGACCACGGGGTTTACCGGCGAGTGATATTCCATGACTCCACCAAATTACATACTAAACATATCGAGCCAGTCATTGTCCAGCGCCGCCTTTGATTCATTACGTGAGACACCGAAAGGGAACTTTCACTGCTTTACAAAAATATTCCTCCTCCGCAATGAGGCTCACATCATATCGTGTCACATCTGCGGCTGAAATAAGGCTCTCTCTTTCTCTCTCGACACGAGCCCCAATCCCCTCCACACATCATCATCTTAAGCTTCTTCTTCTTCACAGAGTTCAAGGCATGTCCTATGTATGTATGTTGCAATCAATTAAGGTGGCCGCTTAAGCTTTCACCCATGTACCGACACATCCTGGATGGGGATACTATATCGGTGATCCGGACTCCGGAACAACGTTCTCGCCTATCCTACCAATCACGGGTGTTCCAGGTCCCAAAAAGAAGCGATTGCTTTTTTTGTGTCGGTGGCTCCGAACAACCATCCAACGTGGGGAGAGGACGAAAGAACGGAAGAAAGAAAGAAAAAAAATTCTGCCTTGGAGTGTATGTAAAAGTGTGATGGGGGAAATATTTTCCCTCATCGTTTACGTACGCCCAATCGCTAGCGAGGAGAAAAAAGACGTTGCACTGTACATGTGGGCTGGGCAAGTGTGCTCGGCGGAGAGTAAGGCCGAGTCTTGGCAGGTCGTCGTCGGAAAATTACTATTATGGGAACTGTCTGTATTTCTACGCACAGGCCAGGGTTCAGAAAGAGCAAGTACATGTAGTTGCAACACTAGCCAGCTTGTAGGGAAATTATTACGTGGGTGTCGTCATGGGATATCGTATGAGGGTAAAGTAAGCTTCTTTCTCCCTCGCATTCCTCTTCTTCCACACATATTCCACGCAGCAGTATATCCTGAGTGACTCAATAGCTGCCGGGAAGACCGCCCGTTTCACAAAGCCACTACTGTAGTACATTCTGCTCTCAAGAACAATTGACCGTATGTGCTATTCCCCCACCCATTCCTCCTTAATCTGCAGGCCTTCCTTGCAATGGTCAGGATGATCGTATCTGATAGCTGTTTCGAGTACGTCTAGCAGGGTGCGGGTACGGGTGCTCTTCCTAAGTTCCTACGCTGCCTATACGTGCCTCTGAGTAATCGTTCTCAAGTGTATGGATGGATATGAAAATACTCCCAATCAACCAGCAACAACCTCAAAGAGGAAAGCAGCAAGTGCACCTCATCAGCAAGGCGTCGTTGTTGTCGTTGTCTGCCAGCCAGAATAGAAACGTACAGGGCCACAAAGATAATGCCACAGGATATCATGTAGCTCGAAAGAGGCTGCGCTGTATATGTGTAACCTGCAGTACGTACTACAATCCCTCACCACTACCTCCCCCCCCCCCCCCCCCTCTTCCCCCTCTACCCCAATGCAATCACTACGGCTAGTCTGTTAACCCATGGCCGTCAGGAAGCGAGCGAGAGCTTCGCCCAGTAATTTTGCACATCAAAGTACAATGTGCATTTCTCCCCTCCATTTGATCCCTGGCACAACATCCCCGCCAACAAATAAGCATATAGCGGGTAGCTAGAGAGAAAAGAAAAGAAAAAAAAGAAAGACCACAAGGCCCTGATGTGTGCATGTATGCACACACTATGGCCGCGTCATACAATCTCCCGCCGAGATGCTGGGTTTCGTATTCACGAAAACCTTATTATAGGTGGTCAAACTAGGAGCCTTGGCTGGGGTTCTGGAGCCCGGATTTCCAGGTGGAACACTGCCCGATTTGGAGACGAGGAAGAGGATGGGAAGAGAGCTGTGATACATAAAGACCTTGGGGGAGTCTGCTTTGGTTCCGAAGTATCTCAGAGTCGATAAATAATCACACCACAAGCTTCTTCTTCTTCTTGCAGCTATAAGAAGCTTCAGTACTCTTAATTAGTCACCTGGACTTTTATATATATCTACCACAGTCCTCCAAGATCAAGAGCTACAACCACAAGTCTTGATATCCGCCACTAAACATGTCGCACACTAGCGCGAACAACACGATCATAGATCCAAAGGACTGCACGTTCGAGACCTGCTCGATCGAGGACTCATACTTTGACTACCGGCCCTCACTCGCGCTCAACAGTCTGCTCATTGCGCTGTTTGGGCTCTCTGTGGTGCTGTACCTCATCCAGGGCATCCGCTACAAGACATGGAGCTTCCTCGCCGTGATGCTGCTGGGGAATATTGGAGAGATCATTGGCTATGCCGGACGAGTCATGGGATATAATAATCCGTTTACAATGGACCCCGTAAGTACACGATATATCTCTAAAGATGTTGAATACCCAATACTAATATACCCACTAGTTCTTGATCCAAATCTGCTGCCTCACCTTCGCACCTGCCTTCTTCGCCGCTGGCATCTACCTCTGTCTCTCCCGGATGTAAGTGATTTTCCCTCCTCCCTTCTATTCACCAGACTACAATACTAACTCCCCTCTCCAGCGTCATCATCTTCGGCGCCGACATCTCCCGCATCCCCCCAAAGGCCTACACCTGGCTCTTCGTCACCTGCGACTTCATCTCCCTTGTCCTCCAAGCCGCCGGCGGCGGCATCGCCTCAGTGACCTCCCAAGACGGCGAGTCCCCCACGCTCGGCACCAACATCATGATCACCGGCCTGGCCTTCCAGGTGTTTACACTCGCAATGTTCATGATTCTGTGCGCCGAGTACGCGCTGCGCGTGGTGCGGCGCAAGGGCAGCCTCGACCCCACGCACGCGAAGCTCCGGGCCAGCCGCAAGTTCCGCGGGTTCTTGTGCGCGCTGGCGTTGAGCACCACGTTTATCATGATTAGGAGCGTGTATCGAGTTATTGAGATGGCGCAGGGGTGGAGCGGCGCGCTGATGGCGGATGAGACGCTGTTTTTTATACTGGAGGGGGTGATGGTCGTGTGTGCGGTGGGGGCGCTGAATGTGTTCCATCCGGGGTGGTGCTTTGGGGAGGGGTATAGGGTTACGGAGAAGGGTGGGGAGGAGGAGTCGATGTGAGTGGGTAGTTAGTTGGGGAGTTGGGGTTTTGAGGTTTTTGAGGTTTTTGAGGTTCTTGGTTGGGCTTTGGGTTGGGTTGGGGTAATGGCATTGATGGTGATGAGGATTATTGGTGATGGATTATTGGTGATGGTTATGGTTATGGGGGGATTGTAGATTTCATCTTATCTTTTTCCTTTTCTCTTTTTTTTATTTCCTCTTTTTTAAACGTTTTTTCCTCATATTTTTGGCGTTATTGTCCACCATCCACCCGGATCCCATTTGTCTGTATTCCTACAATTTTTTTTCCTTCTCTTTTTTTCAGATCAGTATATAGAAAAAAACCACAACCTGTACCTGTAGTTAGATTTTAGCCTATCCAATCTATAACTAATACACTGACCACCCGCCCGTTCCTCCGTCCCTCCGCCTATCTATCTATCTACTACTAAGATCAGAGCCAATGACTGATTACAAACCCCCAAAATTCCCAGTACACCCCCTGCCCCCCCCCCCCCCCCTCGGCCCGCGCGCGCCACGTATAAAACCGGGCTTCCGGCGGCCGACGAAAAAAAGCATTACATATACAATACGCACTTATAGGGCCAGCCAGCCAGCCCCCACGGGGCTGTGCTGTGCTGTGCGCCGGTACGTTTTATTGTTATTGATTGATTGGCACGATTGGCTGGGTATGGTGTGCTAGGAGGGCGATATCGATAATGAGGACTAACTATTTGGATCGGCGGGCGCCGGTGTCGCGGGTTTTATTTTGGTAGGGGTTGGGTTGGGTTGGTGGGCGGTGTGGATAGGGCCTAGGGTTTGGTGGTCCGGGTTGGCTGGTTGGTAATTGGTAATTGGTGGGGGCCGGCGGGGATGGTGGTGGTCATGGGGTATCACTCGGTTGTTTGTGGTGGTTGGGTCATGGGCTGTGATTCGGTTGGGGGGTGGGTTGGGGGTTTTTTTTTTTTTTTTTTTTGGTGATTATTTGTTATTCCATTAAGAGTGGTGATAGTAAATATGCCTCGAAAGTTATTAGCAGCCGTTGTTGTTAACGTTATTTAGGTATCATGTCCGTGTCTAGATACAGTTTCCTATCCTACAAATGAATCAAGAGGAAGCAAGCTCTTTCCTCTGCGCCTTTTGTCCCAACCATAAACCAAATTAATTAAACCCATAATAACTATCCTAGCCCATAACAATAAACCAGTACGCCCTATATAAACTCATGATTATACATACAATTAAAAAAAGAAACTAAAAAAGAACGAAACCTATAAATCGTGTCCTCATTAAATTTGTCGTTTGACATGCGCCTCCGCTGCTTGCATCATTTCCATCCTCTCCTGCACACTTCTTTGTATCTCCAGTTGAAGTTGCCCCGACCCATGCGACTCCCATGTTCCCCTTTCCTCCACGCCCACATTCTCTGGCCCTCTCTCCCTTTCCCTCCCCCTCCCCCTCTCAACTTCTATCCCCCTCTCCCTTTCCATTGCCCTTTCACGTTCCCCTCCTCCCTCGTTGCTTTCTTCGTACCTCAGACTATCCATCGTGCTCCCGGATCCGTTCCTTGCCCTCGTCCCCTGCCCTCGCCCGTTATCACTTCCTGGAAATAACCCAATCTCCTCCACAAACCTGATAATCTCAGCTTGTACACTGATAATCCCTCCCCCCAGAGAATACTGCAGCGCATCCTCCTCCTGCTCCAGACCGGATGGTGAATGCTGTCCTCTCCATACATTCAGACCCCTGCTAATACAGGGGTCTATAAATGCCATCAGAGCATAGAATATCCCACGACCGCCGTAGAAGGCGTAGTATACGACGTCTGCAGTTTATCAGTAAATATAAAGAGATACTTAAAGGGAATGAGGAACGGACAAAGGTTATAGTCGTATTGGGTGTATATTCCTTCAGCGGTGGAGATGCGGAGATCTGCAACGGTTATGAACTGACATGTTTGTTAGTCGGTTGATGTTCCTATGGCGGAAGCAGTAAGGCACATACAAAGTTGAGTATTATCATTACGATTGGGTATATGGCTATCAATACGTGTTAGCGTGTAAACTGGAACTGGACAAGAAGTGAAAGGGAAATTACAAATTCTGAAAACAACACTTCTGAAACTCTTATCATTTGACAAATTCTTACTTGCCAACCTCGTAGCATTTCTCCTCAACGGGTGTCCCCTTGTGTCTAGCATTGGGATGCTTCGAAACCTCCCGGACGTGGACGCCGCGGAGGAAGAGCCCAATGTTCCCTTGCCCGGAAACTCCCTAGTTAGACAGCGAAAAATTGAAGAGGATGTGAATGATCGCACGTACTTTGTGTTTATATAAATAAGTCAGAGTAATCGCCGCACTGACGCCCGTTATCGCTACTGCAAGTAAAATCCAGAATAACTGCGTGCTTATTTGCCATATCAAGCGATCACGCTTGTTAGTGGAAGTGAGCCAGCAAACACCTATTACATGGTCCCAACCAAACTTTCCTTTTATAACTTTTCCCCGTTTGGCGTTAGTGAAATTGTTATGATACTTCGACTGGTGTGAAATATAACATACGTGGTGGTAGAGTGATAGCAAGGTTGAGAGCGAAAGTGCCAATGATGTAATATTTTTCGAGTGCTAGGACGTTGACAGAATGTACAAGAACGAGTTGGAGGTTGAGCGCAATGCAGAGGATAAAGTAGTTGGTTATACCTATAGAAAATTATTAGGAAGTGTCATGTGGTTGGAGAGCGGAGTTCTTACCAAGCCAAAACTGGATCAACCACACACCGGCAACTAAATTGTTACTTTCAGTTATTTATGCAAGTCTTATCGTGGTGGTACAGATCAACTAACCACACCAGAACTGTAACAGAGATAATCAGCAACCAACTTGAATATCTATTGGAAGGAGTTCCAGATAGACTTACACCTGGATTGACTTTAACACATATTATATATCCAATCGAATAAACACAACTGCGACTATTTAGCTACCTATACCTTACACTCCCGAGACTAGCTAGATTACCTACTTTGACAGCAGCGCATACATCAATAATCGAAAGGATAATCGGTCCAGTGATTTTCTTGACTCCCGGTTGGAATATATTAATCCTACAATTCCCAGCACAATCAAACATAGCAGAAGTGATACGCCGGCTAGAATTGCGCTCATGTTGTTCTACTCATGGGATTGATTAGCTTCAACTCCGGTACAGGTACGAATCTGGCCTGCCACTTACCATGGCAAGTACCCGATGAGGCGTAAGAAAGCTTGTTGGTGTGGATATTGGGGTCCTTGTTGTTGACATCGCGACTTTCGGAGGCGAAGAAATTAGCAAGCTGGGGTAGCTAGGGTACCTAGATAGCTGGGGGGAGAGAAGGTGGAAAGCTAAAACGAAGCAAAACGAACAACCAGAACACGAGAAGCGAACCAAAGGAAAACTTTATTGAGAAGGCGAGGTGAGGTGAGGAAAAAAAAGTGGGAGCACGACCTAGATGTCGTTAATTACGATTAGCCCCCCCCACCACCACCCCCTTGGTTGTGGAACTGTTGTGGACTCATCCTGGAATACCTGCTTCTCGCGTGGCCTGAACCTATCAGGGATCACCGCTCACAGGCTGAGGTGATGTGTAGGGCTGAAATGTTAACTACCAATACAGATCGGGTACAACTACGTGGCTGCATAGAAGCTTGTTCTTTGCCGCAAGGGTTTTTTGTAGATTGAGTTTGATATCTTGTATTCTTCATACTTTGACGAAAATATCTGGACCAAGCAACGATACAGCAAGCTCAAAAACTCGTAGACAGTGTCCAGTGCACAGCGGCCTGAGAACCAATCGCGCAGATGCGTGCTCTACGCACAGCTAGGAGTGACGCCTGCGGGCGCTAGAAGGCTTTAAGACCCGCGCTTGCAGCGCCCCAACTGTGGTTATTTGGAAGGCTAGATTTTATATAGTGCGCGCCATGCATGGAAAGTGTTGGTGGAAAGATAGGAAAGCAATGAGGTCCACCGAAACATTTACCCTTGAGTCAGGTTCTTGAGGCTGAAAGTTGAAGCGCAGGAACAGCCAGTTAAAACATGATGAATCGCCAAGTAAACACACCAACGTCCCCGCATAAAAAGTCTCGGTAATGCAAAGCTCCGTGTGGAGATCATCATAGGTTTAATCCCCGATTATTGTCCCGGGGGCATTCGGGGATATTACCGCAGCCTTTGATCAATTCAGTCCTTCGGATGGCGGTTCTTTTTTCCTTTGCTCGCTTGCCCAAATGCCTCTCTGGGTGGCAATTTGCGTGCCGTGTGCTTCGCGAAGGTATTAATTCCCCAATGTGCTCTAGATTCTAGAAGGTCCAGTACCGCAGATCTGGAGACGTCCGAGCTCTCCCGATGAGGGTGTTGATTCAGAGCATGTTAGAAACCGGGGTTTCCATGCTTTCTTAATCCTTTTGCGGGTTTGAAAAAGAATCTCAGCAGGAATGATACCATACCCACGGACAAACGGGCGCTTGATACACCCAGAGGTTCGTGATGTGTATTTAACTATATTAGTTTGTTTACTAGACGAAACCGCCAATCAGGATCAGCATAACACACACGATAGGCCTGTGACAAGACTTCACCGCAAGATCGGCATTCGGTGTTCGGGGGTTGGGGGGGTTAGGTGAGGATAGGAGGACACCCATACCCCGCAAACCAATCTGATGAGCATAAATCATGAACGGTGGTGACAACTTGATGAATATGGTCAAGAATGTTAAGTTTATCTCATCAAGAGTGAATTCATGAAGCCAAAACAGGGGGCGACTCGATGAAGACAGAATGAAGACACGTTTTAAGCTGATAGGAATGTACAACCACCTGAACTTTATTCTGAGCGGGATATCATGTTAAATTAACACGTTGTGATACAGACACTATACTTCGCGGCTCGTTGTCAACTACATGCATACACTTAATCCTCATAATCTTCCTTCTCCTCTCCATCATCAATTGAAATTCAGAAAAAACTCTATATTAGCTCTAAGTGAGCGTAGGCCATCACCTGGCGTGCCGCTATCAATGGTAAGTTCTGTTCTGTCAATCAACACTCTCTATACCAATTATACAATCCTAGCTTTCAAGGTTCATAACCCATTTCATCGTTTAAATTGACTACACTTAGTGATTAGGAAGCTCGGGATTCAAAAGGCCTTTCACATAGAGGTCATTGTCTAAGCTTAACTTTGATAAATTCTAGATATTATGGTTTTACTCATCAGAATATATATATATGCATGGGATGTTAGTTGCGTTTTGAAGAAACTGACTCCTTCATTTTTGAGTTTTTATGAGTTAAACTGCATTTAGTTCCTTGAGTGTTTTTCACTGGAGAGAGAGTTATGCCTGAATTCACAACGACCTATTGAGATAAGGATTGAGTTTTGCAATTTTAATTCCCTACCGAACGCACAGACAACAAGCAATTCTAGCGGTCTAAACTCTTTCTCGCGTAACTTCAACTCAAAATCAATCAAACGACTCGACTAATCACTTACCCAAACAATTCTAATCAACCTAGCTCTGCATCGGCATATCCATCGCGACCATCTTCGTAAAACACACCAGCACCCAAGTCACTATCGCCATCCCCATCGGCTTGCTCTCAAACGGCACCTCAATATCCTTCTCCCATCCCGATAAGTGCTTCACCTCCATCCCGCCGTCCTCTTTCAACCTCACCACCAAAAGGTCATCAACATTCAACTTCTTGTAACCTTTAACCCTCAACATCCATGGGTTCAACTCCATCCAGTTCAACTTCGCAAAGGTCTCCTCGTCATACTTGATATGGTACCCCGAGTCCCCACGATTGACGCCATCCGGGATCACCGCCGCCAACTCTCTCACCGCCGTTCTGCACAACGGACATGCGAATTCCCCCTCCCTCTTCGCGGCAGAGCTAGAACCTAGTGACACTGTGCATTCAGTACAGAATGCATGGCAGCACCCGCGGAACACCACTTCTGGCTTCATGCCATCAATGCAGATTGGACACTGTAGTGTCTCATGCACCTTTTCCGGCACTGGCGTGCTATCCTCTTCCCACTTCCTCACAGCCCTTGTCCCGCGAGGTAGGTTTATGGCCTTTTCGCGGATGTTAATGAGGCCGGGATTGAAGACGTCAAAGTGGAGCTCGTGCCGATTGAAGAGAGTGCGTATGCTGATGGTGTCACAGCTGGGAAGGCTAGGGTTGGCGACGAGTTCGTCCCGAGAACGCGGGATGATGACGCTATTGTTGTGGCAGTCCCAGAGGAAGGTTATGGCGGGGGCCTTGATGGGCTCTGAAACATTCTCAGGCGCGCTGGGAAGGACGAAGAGATTGTCGCGGTTGGCGTAGAAATTGGTTGATGTAGACATGTTTCTGGTTGTAGTAGTAGTGGTGGTAGTGGTAAGTGTAGTATTGTTTGTGTGGTAGCTAGTAAACTGTGAGTGTGATGAGTGTGATGATTATATTCCTACAGCTCTGCGAAAGCCTTATATATTGGAACTAATAATTCAAGTTCCTGGGTTTCAAGCACGATTCGCGGTGAAGCATTTTCATCTTGAAACTATGTTTCAAGGTGGTTCACGAACGATCACTCGCTGTGGGTTTCAAGTAGCACATATCCACCCCTGGCAACATCTCTACAATGGCTATATTTGGACATCGTCTTTCAAGAGACTTGAATACCAACCTATCGGGGGTACGTTTCTTGGGCTGCTGCCACAATCTCAGATTTCGTTGTTGTTCCTCTCTCCCATGCATGATCGTTACTCGCCCTAACTTCCACGCAGCGTATAACATTGCTAATATATTAATCTGTCAAGCACAATATTCACCTCGCTATAGATTGGGAAGGTAAATCCGGCGAAGGACGATATTTGTTTTTGTTATCATGGCCCATCAATCGCCTGTAGTACAGCTATCGGTAGAATTATTGCGGAAACAGGGACCGACGATCACGCCGAGAGCAAGGCGATTTTCCAATGCAATAATTCTACCGATAGCTGTACGGATCTTCCCTCGTTATCAATGAAAATAATGCGCATCAAGCTTTCGTAGGATTTTACACATCCAGCCGGATAAAACGATCGTGTATGTAAAGAATCATGACTCCGCCGTACATGCAACCAATCAACACTCCTCTAGCAATCGGAGTCAATATCTCGAGTATCAATACCACATGCACCATAACCATACTACTCTACTATACACCACCACCACCACACACACCTCCCCCGCCGCCCGCCACCCGCCATCACCCCACTCGCCACAAAAGAAAAAGACAACTCCCTTCGACCAGAGTCGAACTGGTGACCAACCGGTAAGCAAGCAATTACAGCCGGGTGTGATACCAACTACACCACAAAGGGATGATGGCAACATTGGGCCGGCATATTTTTCATGGAAACGTAATCTGGTGTGGTAGGGATGGTGTTGGTGCGGTGTGGGGATTAGGCTGAATGTTTATCCTGCTGGAGCGTTGGGCCGGGGGCGTTTGGTGGTTGGGGGGGGGGGCGTGGGTTAGGGGTGGATGAGGAGGGTGAGGGTGGATTATGTAATGAGAGTGCACGTGGGGGTTGTCAGCATTGAGGGCAGGTGGCAGTGTGGGTTATATAATTACATCTAGAGTACATATATTTGGAATCATTGAAAATAACAATTGCGGTGCAAGTCTACAGGATCCTCCTTTCTCGCAGACAATTGCAAGCCTATTTGGTAACGCTAGATCATACTACATCCTACCAATTGCCCTCGCCCCAGAGCTAGAGTCCGCTACTAAGATGTACCAACATAGCTACCTATGTAGGTAGATGTAGCCGGTACATGTACTTGATATTATATCGGCGGCATCATATCAGCGGTTGAGTACCTGGCGCGGTGAACCCCCACACTTGGCACATTTAGGGCTTTGCGTTCTGGATTTGGGGATTGGGTTTGCGTCGTTTGGGTTTTGTGTTGTGGGTTGTGGGGGAGCATGGTGTATCACTCACAATGTACGAGCGCATCTGAGTTGGAGCGAGTGGCTAGGTGTGGTGTGTGTGTGTGTGGGTGTAGGTAAAGTGTAGTCTCGAGTGCGGATGTGAGCGTAGGGTGTACCTATAAGCAGGTAAGCTTGCATTGCTCAAGAAAACTATGCTTCCTGTGCTTTTGATTTCCGAGTAATGTTCATTCACCAACCCCGCGTACCCCGCGCCCCCCCCCCCCCCCCTCTCTCTCCCCACCCGCCTACCTAGCCCATATATACCAACACAGCATATCACTCGCATCTGACACACACACACGATCCCCAACTGAGTCAACTGAGTCAACGATAAGGACCGGGTTAGGGTTGTTATAAATACTGTGGTGGTTGCTTTTTGCTAGTGCATTGGTGTCTGACTCGGAGCGGGAATTTAGTCTTTTTTTTTTATATTTTTTATTTTTATCTGTTTGACTCGGAGGGGGGAGAGGTAGGAAGGTGGTCGGGTGATGTGACGCATATTGGTGCAGCGGCGAGTGGGAGTGGGAGTGGGAGTGGTGTGTTTGTTTGGGATGACAGCTGCGAAGGGGTGGTAGATGGTGGTTGATGTAGCTAACAGCAGCACAGGAGAGCTTGGGGGAGGAGAGCTTTAGTTTGGTCGACGTCAGCTGCGCCGAGCTCGGACTTGGAGCCTCTCTCTCTTTGATGCCTGATGCCTGGTCGACGGATGAAGCCAAAACCAACACCCAATCCGCCGTGCGTGCGCGACAACGACGATGTGAAACAAAGACAGGACGTTTTAAACCCATCGATCCGAGACATGCACCCGGGCCCAACGGTCAACAATTCCATTATTTGCAATTTGCATCCCCCCACGGACGTTGTCGGCGCGCCGGTCCGTTCCTTGGCCGAGAAACAACTGATTCGATCCAGCCACATACGTCAGTGATTCGCGCGGGATAGCGACATTGAACATTGAAAAGTGCACTTATCGGTTGGGTCGTGAATTAAGTTTTGTGCTGGTGTGTGAATCGAATCGAGGGTGCGGCGAGGGGATTGGCTGGGACTCACTCACTGTGTTCAAGATGGAATCATGCCGAACGCAGGGCAGGCAGGGAAGAGGGAGATCTTGTAATTGAGATGTGAGGGATGCTGGGGAAGAGGGAGGAGGACAAACACGGCTCAGCCCTAGCTACTTGTATGTATGTATGTATGTAGCTAGGATGCTGGGGAAGAGGGAGAAGAAGAAGAGGAGAGGAATTGACTCGCTCTGCAGTCTGTAGGAATTGAAGATATTCGGTCACTTTGAATTGGCCCTCTGCTTCTGCTCTGCTCTACCGTCTCTCCTCTCCCTGTGTCTGTCCCCCCTGTGCGACCGATCTTGCAGGGTGAGTTCTTTCTCTCGAGAGAGAGAGGGGGTCTTTTTTACTGCTTGCTTGCTTGCTTGCTTGCTTGCTTGCTTGTGTGCGTGCTGCAACTGCAAAACTTGAAAACCGCCGGGTGAAAAGAAGGAGTGGACAAAGGGCAGATAGACAGCCTCTCTTCTTTCCTCTTTCCTCTCCCATCTATCTCCATCGCTATCATCATCATCATCATCATCATCATCATCATCATCATCATCGCTATCATCATCGCTATCATCATCATCACTGTAGACGTGCTTCTTCATCGGCTATCATCCGTCGTCTAGAACAGCATCACGGTCTGGCATCCATTAGGAATCATCGGCTGTCATCTAGTCTGTCTATACACAGGTCTGTCTATCTCTCTGTCTCTGTCTCAATCTCTCAATCTCTCAATCTCTTCCTCTTCATTCTCCCCAAACACAGACAGACAGCTCTCCTCTAATTCTCTTAATCTATTCCACAAACTAATCCCAGCTCCCTGCAGATCCTCCCTCTCTCTCCCCTTTCGTGAAACCCGGTAACCCAGCCAATTACCACGCAGCTTGTCCATTCCAACCACCGAACACACAGACACACCCACACGATCCGATCCACAAAAAACAAAATAAAAAAAACAACCCACCACACAAACAATGTACCACCGCCGCCGGCGCGCCCACTCCACCCCCACAGCCCCCTCCGCCCCCGCCCTCATCGCAGCCACCACAGTCTACAACCCCTCCCCACCACCGCCGCTCGCCGCCGCCGCCGCCGGCACAGCACTCCGCCATGCCGCGCCCTCGCCAACACCACCACCAATCGGCAGCATCCCCACAAAACGCATGCTCAAGCGACGCGACAGCTACTCCTCCGCCAGCGACAGCAGGCCAGGCATGCCGCAGCGCGCCAGCAGCACAGGCAGCCTCACGGAGCGGCGGTTCCGCAAGGAGAGGGGCAGCAGCAGCGTCAGTAGCCGGCGGGGGAGCATTGACGCGGGAAGGACCAGTGGCGAGATAATCGGGCGACGGGCTAGCACTGGTGGTAGTAGTAGTAGTAGGTTTAATAGTGCGAATGGGGGTTCCGGCCCGCCGCCGCTAGCGAGGAAGGTGACGGCGTACCATGAGGAGGACAGCAGCGAGGATTATCCGGCAGACGATGATAGTGATCTGCCATTGCCCATCATGCCGCCGCGGTCGCCGTCGCTCCGGGCGTTCCCTGCGACGCTGCGGGGAAGCATGAGTAGCGGTAATGGTAATGGTAGTGCTAGTGGCAGCAGGCGGGTAAAGAAGCAATTCACCCGCCCCCGCGACACAGCATCACCCTCTTCCTCCTCCCGCGACCGCGACCGCCGCTACTCCCTCGACTATGCCGACTCCTCCGCCTCCCTCGAATCCATCGCCGAAGACCCCAGCCCCAGCCCGCAACCCACCCCACACCACGCCAAGATCCTCGAAGAGGCAGAATCCTCCTCCGACTCCTCCTCCTCCGACACCCGCAGCAAACTCACCCTCCTCCCCCTCCCGCGCCACAGCCCCCCCGCGCGCTCCGCATCCCCCGCGAAATCAGCACTCAGACACGCCCCCGCCCCCTCCCTGGCCGTGAAGCCGCGCGTCAGCTTCAGCGACGAGGACTCGGTGTCTAGCTTCCCGCCGTACTCCCGCGCGCCGCTGCTGCTCGATGACCAGTATGGTGGTGGTGGCTTGCGCCACATGCCGATGTTTGGTGTGGGGGGGGTGACGGCGCCGTCGCCGCCGCCGAGTGATTCGAGCCAGGAGAGTGTCATTGGCCTGGAGAGCGCGCTGCGGTATCCGAAGGGGCTGCCGCCGCTGGGGGCAGGGAGCGCGGTGAAGAGGTTGTTGTGTGATGGGGCGCGACCGCCGGCGCCGCTTGGTGGGGGGAGGGGGAGGGGGGGATGTTGACGCCGCCGGGGACGAGGGCGGGGGTGCCGGAGGTGAGGGTTGTGGCGGCGACGCCGGGGGAGGAGGAGAGGGAGAGGGGGATGGTGTTGCCGGTGATGGGGGTGGGGTGGGATAGTGGGAGTGAGAGTGGTAGTGATAGTGGGGAGAGTATATATTCGGATGCGTATGAGGACTTTGTCCTGCCTTCGCCGTTGCCGTCGCCGTCATTCGGCGGTGGGGGGGCGATGCCGGGGATTCTGGAGATTGCGCCACCTCCTCCTCCTCCCCCTCCTCCTCCAGCCCCACCGGTACCAAGATCTCCACCACCCCCACCAAAAACAGCCCCGCCACAACCAGACGATCCACCACCCCCACCAGACTTCCTATCACCCCGTAACCCACCACCGCCGCCGCCAGTACCGGCAAACACACTAACCCGCACACCATCAACTACATCCTCCATCTCGACAACGTCAACATCATCCTTCCGCCGCCTCACGCCCCGGAGCCGCGGGAGGCCCGTGTCGCATTTGCTGGCTACGATGCGCACGCATCCGCCGTCGTTACGTACCGGCGGCGGGAGCAGCTCGCGGGAGTTGAAGACGGCGCTCCGTGCCGGCGGGGGGAATGGGCATGGAGGACGCACTCGCGCTTCTCGACAGATTCGGATCTGCCGGTCGTTTCTGGCGGTGTTGGTGGTGGTGGTGGTGGGGTGGGGGTGGGGGTGGGGGTGGGAGGGGTGGGAGGGGTGGGGGAGTATGGTGTGGGCATGGGCAGGGAGAGGGCGGGGAGCGAGGGGACGGTGAAGCGGCGGCGGCGTGGGTTTTGGGGGTTTTTGAAGGGGAAGAGTGGTGGGGGTGTGGGGGGGAGGTTGAGGAGGAGGAGTGTGGCGGTTGGTGGGGGGAGAAGGAGTTTGGTTTGGGGTTGGAGCGGGGGGTGGGTACTAGGGGGATGGGAGGGGTGGGGGGGATGGGGCCGGGGGTGCTGGATATGAGGGGTGTGGGGACTGGGATGGGGGTGGGGGTGGAGGGGATGGCGGCTGGGAAAGGAATGGAGGGGAAGGGGAAGAGGAGGAGGTTGTGGAAAGTGAGGAGGTTGCTGGGGTTGAAGTAGTGCTGTGGGGGTTTGGGGTTTTTTGGGTTCCTTTGCTGTGCTATGCTGCGCTTTTTTTTTTGTCTTGTCCATATAAAACGGGGACTATATAGAGGATTTTTTCTTTCTTTCTTTCTTTCTTTCTGGCTTTCTTTTTTTGTCTGTTCTTGGGGTTGTATTACTAGCATCTCTTCTTCCTTTTTTCTTCGCTTCTTCACTTTTGCTGATCTTCTCTTCTTCTCTTTTCCCGTTTGCCCAGTTTTTCTGCCTTTTGTTTTCGTTTTTTGTTTTTGTTTTTGTTTATCAGAGGGCACGAATGGCTAAATGGTAGTACGACGCGTAATGGTGCGGATTGATGGATGGGATGGCGCCTGGTTGCGGTTGGGGGGGTGGTTTATGTTGAGCATGAGGGAGGGGGGGTATATGATATGTAGGTTATGTAGTCTGGTAGTTATATTTTATCGATAGACTGTAGCTAGCTGGGTGGGGCGTGGGAGTGGTGTTGAACGTCATTATATTACTACGTTACAATCGAGTACGTGCATCGTATCGTATCGTGGGTGACATCAGCTTTGTGATGTATTCGAGGCGGAGGTGGAAATGTTCTGGAGTCAAGTATAGCGATGAGGTATAACAGAAACAGAAGCGGGTCGTTTGTATGATTTAGGTAATGTGTTTTGGCCCAACCAAAACAGCGGGCCGTTGATATACCCAGCCGCGGCCCGCTCGCTGCGCATTGCTGGTTACTCGGTGCAGAATATAACCACCTCCCGCTGCATGTCCGTCTACTTGCTGCCTACCCACGCCGTATCGAGGCCATGCAAGCTGCTAGGATATCACGGCAGATCTCGGTGGGCCCTGCGATGCGATGGGTTGGTCGCGTCGGCCGCTGGTACGGGTAGGGTTATGGCTCAATTATCGCAGCCCGACCCAACCCAATCTGCCGCACCCTTGCTACCAACTTTAAATCCAACTTGTATGAGAAAACCCCTCCAGTAATCGATGAAGGGGCCTGTTGGGGGGCTCTGGTATTTGTTTTGGGGTAAAATAACCTTACTTTTTGGTTTTGATGTACTGTGCTGTGAGGTCATGTGTTATCACTCGACCTGTGGGGTTGCCCGGGTAGACAACAATATCTACTCCTGCCCGCCCGCCCCGGTGCATTACCTGTCGCGGGATGGACCACGCCGGGTTATAGACATAGAAGGTCTTCTTAAAAAATCGTGGTCTATGCCTGTCACCTTTTCCTCCACATACCTCGCATACCCCTCGAGCTCATGCGTGCTTACAAAAAAGCCCAATTAGATAAGGGACTTGCTAGACCCGCACCACCTACCCTGCATAGAGCGGCTGGCTGGCTGGTAGGTTGGTTGGTGAGAACCGAGTGATACCTCATGACCGCCTTACCCCATATATCCTCTAGATTACCAAACTAAAACCGTAAAATGCAAACGTGGTAGCACGGAAATCGTACTCCGAGATCGGTGTTTTTGACGTGTGGTTGGTTCGTCGTGCAGAGACGTCAGTTGCTGTTGTGTATTAATCCTGTAGGTGTGGTTTCCGGATTGTACTATTGGAATCTCTGGCCTGCAGTGGTTGCGGGTTGACCTGGCGGTATACTAGCCAGTTGTATTGGGGTAGAGTCTGCTGGGACTGACTCGCTGGGTAGTTTGTAAAGGCTCCGAGATAGATACTAGTCCTAGTCCTAGTCAGGCAAGTTAGAGCAACGGTGCCTACCGTACATGTAGTTACCAGTATGGTCGAGTACCTATTAGGATAGGAATGTCTATGCTTATGTCGATGCCCATGCTTATGGAGTGGCTGTTGACATTTTAGAGCTTTGGTCCGCTCGTGGTGTCTGGTAGACGAGTTCCCGGCCTGGCCACTCGGGCACCCCATTCACTTGTATAGTCGGTAATGATCTATATGGAAGCCGCTTACAACGCTGGTCTTCACTTTCCTGTGTTAGGTGTTCAAGTGGGGGAGTGCTCAGATGGTTAGGGAAGCTGTCTATCCCAACCCAGCTCTGGTTCTAGTCTCTAAAGTTGTCGGATTGAGTCTATTCGGTAGCCAAGACACATCCGAGTGATATCCTATGATTGCAACTCCAGACCGGTGCGGTATTTTCCATTTACAACCACTCCCATTACCTAAGTACCTTGTAAGCACCACCTGACCAAAGGATGTAGAATTTCAAAAGACGAATAGTCTGTCTTTAAGCTGTGAGGAGCGATAAGCCGTGTTTTGTAGGATATATTACATATTCGTACCTACCTATATAACAGTAGACTCGCCAGACTCCCCCATTCAACATAGCTTCAACTTCTCCCTCTTTTCCTGGGTCCAGCCGGGTGGTGGGGCGTTGGTCGATCTTTAGATTATAGATTGCTGTTAAAGGTGTTCTAATCTCTCCACAAACGCGGTCCCCCCGCTAATTTCCCGAGGAAAACTGGTCCATTCAGCTGCAGATTAATTATCAGACCGTTCTTGACTGGCCAGCCCATCGCTGAAATGACTGAAATCGACCCTCCCCCTAAAGACACCTCCATAGTTGAATAAAGATCCCCCTAGGAACAATATTTTGCGCTGATCGCCACTTGACCTAGCTGTAGACTTTGGTCTTTGTACCGGAAGAATCTTATTCTGTCTCCTCGAGCTGGATAGTTGGAGATAAATTGGACCCTGCGGGGTTGTAGTATTCGTCCTTTTCTTTTCTTTTCTTTTCATTTCTTTTCATTTCTTTTTTTTTACCTTTTCGGCGTATAAAGAATTTGATATTGACCTACCTACTCCATAGACCCCTCGGGATATACTTCTCCAAAAAGGCCAGCAAGTAGCAGAGTCTCCACTTACCGAAAACCACAACAGACCTACCGTAAAACGCTGCCTATGGCAAAAAAGAAGTACTTGCGAGAGATAAGATCGGGAGATCAGAAAGAAAGGAAGAAAAACTGTCTTAACCCTGCCCGATGTAAGTCGGTATCACTAGCCACACAAATAAGGTGTGTTTTTAGTATGGTACCTACTGTGCGTGGTTAGTAATATATCTCCATTTACATCCGGTTTGATGGTTTAAAAGATAGCCCGGACCTACCTATAGTTCCTAGGTGAATTTTATCCTGCCTTTCAAATTCCCGGCACGTAGGACTGGTTTGGTTATTTTGTCCTCTGTGAGCTTTTTTCTCTCCCCCTTCCCCCCCCCCCCCCCCCCCTTCTCGGAAGCCAACTTCCCAGCCACTGGTACACCGGCATCCTCACTCGTATAGTTACGAAGAGAAGAGGTATAACAGCCGGTTATAACTTCGGTATTCTCTTCTCCGTTAAGTGTCCCGCTGGGTGGATGTCCGGCCGGGCGGTGAGTGCCGGAAGATGTCTTGACTGGTGATAATGTAACAGCCAAAGCCAATGCCTCATGCTCAGCGCTTGAAAAATGAGCCGGGCCGCATGAGGGTACTGTGTGGTCTCTCTCATGTAGTTCTCCCCAGCCCGCCATCGCCGACAGCACACAAAGCCAGAGGCTAGATACCGCATTACTCTATCTCGGCGGCCGGCCACATAAGACGTGGACATTCCCTTACGTTGGTTTTTTTTGTCCTTTAGTCTTGCCTCGTCCTGGCTCGATAAGGGGGTTTCGAAGTCTTACGTGGCCGACCGTTGGGACGGGCGGGTGATATTGTGTTGGTTTTCGTTTTTTTTTAATTTCTTTTTTTATTCTTTATTCTTTGGTTGTTGTTTTTTTTTTTTTTTTTTTGGTGATTCAGTTGATCCCTTTTCTGTCCAGATTTTTGACGGTTTTCAACGATGTGGTACATTGGTGTTTTGACGGCTTTCAACGGTGTAGTAATTTTTTGACCGACCGAAGCGTCCCGGCCGGGAGTGACAATAGTGTTCTGACACACCCGACCTCCGAGCCCGAGCCAATGATGGCGGTAGAGAGGACTTCACTACCTGCGCCCATCTATAAAAGCGGATGGGTGGGCAGTGTGATGGTGGTTGTGAGTTCTCAGTGCACGCCGAAGAGGCGGTGCGACGAGATCGAGTGAAGGAAAAAGAGGTTGTGATATTGTTGTTGTTGTTCGTGTCGTGTCATCTTAGGTGGTAGTTTGTAGAGGTGAAGAGGTAAGGTCATAGAATGGCGGGCCCATCTGTTGGGTGGTTGTGGCTGCCAGGGAAGGTTTTGCACCGCGCGTGGGTGCATCATAGGATATCACTCTGTAGGATAACCCTAGCCCTGGTGGTCCGGGCGCTGGTAAAGGTCACGACCACCACCGCAACGTCTCTCGAAAACGAATTTCCACTGCAAATAACTTCAACCCATCCAATTCTCACAGCCTCGTACCGCTGTTTCCTCACCGCCGCGCCGAACAGCTGCACATGGCCAGCTACCCACACGAGGACCGGTAAACGGCGCACTCGGTCACACTCGCACATTTCAACCGTAGGAGTGACGCCTCTGCAGTCCTGTGGGGGAGAATATGGTGATACATCGCTATCATTTTCTTCAAGCTCAAATCTTAAAGGGAGACTACCACAGAGGGGGTAGATACCTCTTGTAACTACTAACTACGCGATTAGATGACACACCCGAAGAATAGGGATATGGCAGGAGGGAAAGGCGAGATTAGAAGAGGAGATTCTATGACCAAATCTGCCCTCTCCTCCGGCATAGTCGTTATTTCTGAGGTCACGCATATTTGATCACAAGATACCGGTGGATAGCAGGAGGAGAAATTGACCTGCCGGGGAGACTAGTCGGGGTTATATAGTAGGTCAATTGTCAAAACCTTCATCTCCAGGACACCGCTCCGCACCAAACACATCAACAAGCCTAGGTTGTGGTGGGAAGTCCGGGTAGATCGAAGCACAACACTATTCGCTCCTAAAAATAACACGGGGACCGCGGCACAGAGCTTGCAAGTGGGAATGGGGCGAGCCTTGGTCAAATGAAGGAACCTTCTTAGCTATTGACATAGGCAATACTCTAGGCGCCCCATACAAGAAGTCGACAGCCCATCTAGGAAGCTCTCGCTATACAGCGAAAGCTTGCTATAACGGTACTTTCTATAAGGGTAATCTCTCTATAACGGTACCAAATTCCGGTCCCGAGCGTACCGTTATAGCAAGCTTTCGCTGTAGTACCTACCCAAACAGCGCATCTCCGGAGATTCGATGTCTGGTCAGCTTTCGTCTGGGGGTTAAAACTACAGCAGAGACGTCTAAGTTAAGCAAGGCTTGTGCGGATATTGCGGTTCAATATATACTACGGACCCGTCTTCCATCTGGCCGGATAAAAGGCACAAAGGCAGGTAAAGAAAACTACAACCGGTCTAAAAACACTAGGTATCGCACTTTATACCCATACAGTGGCGCAGCGACAATTGAAAATTATTGACCAGATGGCCGAAACTATCATGGTAGCGAGAAGCGAGGTTGGTGTTTGAGATGACATGGTTGACGATATATATATAGGGATCGTTATCTGTACCAATGGGGGAAGTCATGCACTATCACTCGATGGTTCAAACCCTAACCCTCTGGAGTCCGCCCACCAATGTCGCCGCTACCATCACCAATATAACTGTTTTAGCGAGGCGCATCAGAAATACGGACCGGGAAAGTGGGTAGCGAAGGAATAGCACCCTATTGTTTATCTCGGCCGATTCGCACGCCACCCGTCCTCGCGCTAGCACAGGAGGATAGCTATGGTGGACAACATGGTAAGATCGGGGTATCATATCAGTTTGCCCGACTTGTATCAAGACTCCAGGTATCGATGGAGAGCTGATGATTATACTTGTGACGTGACAGGGTGTGGATGAGAAGGCATGAGTAAAGACTGGTGGTGCGGGTCTTTTGGATGAGGTTGAAGGGCGGTGATGTTCGCCTGCTGAAATATATCAAGGAAGATATCTGGTGTTTGTGTGCATATGCGTGGGTATGGTATATGCGGCGGTCACGCCGGCTGTGGTGGATGTGCGATCTGTATTCCGTTATTGTCGGGCAAGTCATGCGATATCACTCGAACACTAGCGCGATCCAGCCCTAACACCAACTACCACCTCCACTACGTCCATCACCGCCAGCCATCACCACCACTAGCAACCGCAATCTCTTCCCACAAGACATCGCCACAAACAACGCAAGGTACTGATTCGTCGTCACGCACCACTGAGACGAATGCGTTTATCTCAAGTCCTTACTACGCCGAGCTACTAAACAAACCGACTCTAGATTCGGAAGACCTTATATGGTAAAGGCCTGGAGTAAGCTTCTGGCCCTTTAGTTCATAAACCTGAGGCTGTATTTGAAGTGGAGTTACGAACTGAACTGCCTGTGGCACCTTCTCAAATCCCTAACCCTACACCAAAGATAAGGATTAGATTAGATTAAATGGGTTCAACCCCCACCCCCAATCTTACGGACCACAATCGATTACAAATGCTGAATAACCGAACTATTACATGATGGGCGTCCTTTGCTGAATTCTACTATTAATTACGCGGGTTCTCTATAGAGGCACTGTACCCATTTCCGGCTTGGGGCGGAGTGATGTGTCAGCCCAGCTATATATCTGGGTGGCGTGAGGTAGAGCTGGTGTATATGTAAGGTTTCTCTGCTACTGAGTTGGCATCTTGAATGAGTGATTATTGAGGTCATTGCTTACGGATGATATCAGTAGTACATTTCACGAACATTCTTGTGTAAGTTTATTAGTTTTTTCATGAGAGACCGGAGCTGGAATATTATGGTACACATGCCTTAAACGTCATAACGGACTACATATGCATCTATTTGAGAGGCTCACGTTAAATTGTGCTAGCTAGCTAGCACCATTCCACGAATACATGCCTCAGCCCTACCACCCGAAGACCGCAGTATCCGAACACGCGCAGCACACAGGAACAGAGTAACCCCGGCCCACGCGCAACGACCAACCTCAATCACCACATCTCCCTACATGTAACCAGAACCCACTCACTTATCTCCGAGCCACGCGGGATCACTCGGGCTCTCTATAGTACGCTGCTGACTGCACAGAGAAAAACAGGATGGATCGTGATAGGCAGTGGCTGGCTTACTCATACACGCTGGATGTTCATTGGATGGGAGAAGCCTCCGGGTTCGGCGCGGCTGCAAGCCACGCGGTGGTGGCGTACATACGTCGGTTCGGTGAGTACGTAAGCTTGCTTAAGGAACACTGAGGCTTTGGCGGTGAGTTTAGTCTTGGTTACATGTATCCGCTGCCTCTGGCGTAGCTAAGGATTAGCTGGCCTGCCTGAGACGAGGCCGAATATGCCCCTCGGCCATGAGCGTGGGACATCATCCACAAGGCTAGGGTGCCTTCGTAAGGTTAGGGTTGGTTCTGCCCTTAACGAATCATATCTAGCTGTCCGGAACACCGTATCGTAGGTGTTCAGAACATGATATCGTAGGTGTCCAGAACGTCACAGAGATAGGTGTTCTTAGCGCGCAGGTAAATAAAAGGAGCAGAAGGTGGCCTCCCTCCTTCTCCAACCATTAACAAAGGCACATTCTGTCTCGCTTCTAAATAACCTATCGAATTGAGACCAAATGGCCTTCTCAAATCTGGCTGGATAGAAAACCACACCGGTTGTGGTTACAAGAGAATCAATACATATCATCATGATCAGCCAGCACAAATACAGCGAGGCTCAGACTCCAGGCATCACTTCATGGCTCGTATCAGCCCTATATGCCTATCCATGAATCATAGTGGTTGGTGTGAGATATCTTGTCTCGTGACTCGAGGGCTACATATCGGAGACGAGTTACTTATTCTTGGAGGTCACTGGTACTGCGCGTGTATCCTTGAGACCTGGAGGAAGTCTCACAACGGTTTCAAGCAGGGAGGGCGCAACGGCGTGTTTCCACAGCCGCCGCCATTCGACGCGCTATTAGTTGGCGGTAACAGAGCACGAGATGGTAGGTACGTACATCGTCATGCCTCATATACGGTACGGCACAAGCTAACCCCGGCCAAGTCACACCCTGACCCGGCCCTCATACATGCCTTCTCATGAGCCGTGTCATTCCAGACCAGTTGGCCAGCTGCAAGTCCAGCGCCACCCGCCGTCGACTCTTAAGACCCGCTATAATCACCGTTACACGATGGGAGTTGACATGTATATAAGCCTTGCGTTAAGTTCCGGAGGTTTCAGGATTACTAGTACTGCGGCCCCTGCATATACACACATCACGACTTTGATTGAAATCGATATGTATGTATATGTCCGCTACATTACGTTACGGATCGATCTGTGCAGCGGCATGTGCTAATATGGATGTGCATCAAGGAGTCATGTAGGACGAGTGATCGCATATGATCTCAAATCCAGTCATGCCGGTACCGCTACTCGGCCAGTACATGCTTGTAACCAGGCGAGTTCAGTGGATCTTCAGATGAGACGCATCTTGACACTATGCATTAGGTCTACTAGAGTAGCGCCTGGTGGTGAATACTAAGCATTGGTACTAATCTACAAAGTCTAGACTAGAGTATCTAGTGGATAGTAGTCGTTTATGTACCCTCTTCTCTACATGAAGTCGACATACACGCCCTACCAACCCCCTCTCTCCTTCTTTCCTCCCTGTTCCCCGCCACCTCTCTCCCATAACCACTGCACAGCACCAAAAGCGCACGAGTGTAGTAAACTGTTGGGACATTGCTAGCCCAGAACCGCCAAATCATCAGCAGCGGCACTCTGATCATGGTCTACCAGCTAGCTAGAGTAGACGAGACACTGCACGCAAGAGTACTTATGTACTCTAGAGTAGAATAGGTGCTCTAAAACTAGTACATACTCTAACATAATACACTACATACATTGACAGCTGTTCGGGGTACATGTGGACGTGCCCGACCTCAAAGCAGGCGCCAACCACGCAACTATTAATAGCAGCGTGTCTGATGCGGCCTAGCCGCTGCCGCAACGGGCAGACGCGAGGGGGTTGTGCAGCTGGACGACCTTAGTCTGAGAGTGTAGATAATCGAGAGTGGTTAGAGCGTGACAGAGTGACCCTGGTTCGGTATTATTTTTTTATGCCCACCATTGCTTGATAGGGTGATGTTGTACATACATGGCCCTTTTTACTACAACGACTAACTGCTTACAACTCTACTAACCCACTACCACTCTACCTACTACACACTACGTGACCACCCCCCCCCCCCCCCGGTCGAAGATCACGGCCTCCAACGCGCGCAAAATAAAAAAGAACATACGTAGATCAGTAGGTATCGTGAATATGCTAAAGCAGTGGTATCATTTCTCGCCCTTCCCTCCTTCCCCCTTCCCACACCCCCGAAAAAAAAAAAAACCAGCCAGTAGTCCCTTCTCCCCCACACAAAGCAAACATAAAAACCAAGAAAAAAGGTATCATCGACAACATACATAGTAGAACCGAACCATAACCACAAGAAAGTAGAGTAGAGCTACAAGATGTAAAAATGAAGAAAAAAAGAAAAAAAGAAAACTCGTCGTCGTCGCTAGTTAAGCTTGACTGCACTGGACTGGACCGCCCCCGCTCCCTAGACTATAATCCAATTCTAGTCTGTATGCATGCATGCACCAAATTCTGAGATGATAACCAAAAAAAGAGACGTAAACATAAAAAAAACAAAGGATCAAGCTGTTCTTTTGCACGTAACATCGTAACGCTAACGCAAGCCCAACAACTTTTGTAATAACCATAAGACGAAAACACACATATAAAAATGAAACATATAAAGATCCCAAAACAGTGAATGTTTCAATAAAAAAAAAGATAAAAAATATCCCGAGATGCCAAAAAAAAAAAAGTCCAAAGAGAAAAAAAAAATATCACCACATTATCACATCACATTTCAACAAACCCCCCATCATCTCATCGCATCGCATCGCATCGCAACTCATCGCATCGCATCTCATCTCTTAACACTACCATGTCTACTACTCCTGTAAAAGTAAAAATATATCAGTACATATTCCTCAAATCCACAATAGAAACAATAAGGTTAAACATACCCATAAGGTCCCGACGCCTGCGTACTCCTCGGCGGATTCCTCGTATAGCCAATATACGTCCCCGACTGCTCCGGGTTCTCCTGCAACCTCCTTCCCCCCGCCGACGACGGCTGCCTCACTGGCGGTGGCGCGGGCGCCTCGACTTGCGGCGGCTCCGGCGCGGGTGGCACCGCCGGTGGACTAACAAGCGCCGGCTTTCCAGGCGGCGGCCTATTCGCCGACGGCCCGGGCCCCGGACCAGGGCTGGGAAACCCGTGGATCGAGTTCGGGCGGCTCTTATGGCTGTGTCTGTGCTGCGACGAGTGTCTGCGTCGGTGGCGGTGCTCCTTGTCGTCGTCGCCTCCGCGGGTAGTTGATCGTTCGCGGCGGATGACGCGGACCTCGCCGTTCCGGATGCGGTTTGAGAGCTCAATGAGCTCGTCGATCTGGGTCTCGTCCAGGACCTGGAAGACCATGATTGAGTCCGACTGCTCCTTGAAGTCGTAGCCGATGACCTCGACGGCGCGGCGGGCGACAATGTCGCGGCTGATCTTTGTCCAGCGGTGTTCGGTGCCGTCTGGTTTGCGTGTGCGGCTTACGGAGCGGCGGCGGCGGCTGTGGGGGCGCGGGCCGCCCATGGGGGGGCCCATGTCGCGGTCGCGGCCGCGGTGGTCGTCGCGGTAGGGCGAGTTGGGGCCATCGAGGGAGAGGGCTTCCATGCGGTAGAGTTCGCGGTCGCGGTAGTCGTGGTCGTCGTAGCCGCCGTCGCTGCCCGTGTGTCTTCGGATCGGCATCATGGCTCCCTGCATCGGTCCCATGGTTCCCGGGGCTGGGGGAATAACGCCCGGGGCAGGCGGCGGTGGGAGGATCACGGGCTCGACACCGTGTGGGAGGGTGTATGGAGTTGGTTGTGGCGGCGGTGGGATCATGACTGATGGTGGGGGTGGTGCGGGAGGTGCTGGTGCTGGGGCTGGGGCCGGGGGCGCCGGTGCTGCTTCAGGTGCTGGCGGAGCTGGTGCGGGAGCCGGTGCTGGTGCCTCCGTGGCAGGTGGCGGCATGATAGCTTGAGTAGTAGGGGGTGGGGTACCACGCGATGGCGCCGCAGCAATTGCCCGCTGGTTGATGGGAGAGTTCAATGGCAGTGTGTGAGAGCGGGAAGTAGTATTGATAGTAATATTCCCAATCGGAGGCTTGCCCCCACGAGTGCTACCGCTATAATTGATGTCAATGGTTCTTCCATCATACTCAATCCTGATATTGCTTTGACTAGTAGTCGGCTCTGTCTCTGAATCGCTGCTGCTTCCTGACGTTTCCGAGCTGGGACGGCCTCGTGACGGCGGCTGCGGCTGCGGCTGCGGCTGCGGAATCATTGCCCGCGAGTCACTCGCCGGCACAGACCGTGACCTGGCCCTCACCAGAGCTCCCTTCTCAGTAGTGCTTGCCGCCTTCCTTGCACCTGGGCGGTACACCTCCTCGAAATCATCGGATCCGTCTCCACTAGCCTGAGAATCCGTGACTCCCAAACCATGATGCGGCCCCCTCGACCTACTTCGCTCCCTCCTAACCTGGCGCGGACGCTGCTGCTCCCCAAGGACAGGCCTCGGGTTATTGGGGTGGTACACGGTTCCCTCCCGCCTAAACTCACTAGGTGGACGCCCACCACCACCAAGGTGATACTCCCGGTCCCTGACATTCCCAGGCTGACTCGCGTTGGGCACAACATAGCTCTGCTGCCTGTCCACCGGCCTCTCCATCGGAAAGTTCATATCGTAGCTCTCACCCGAGAAGTTGCTGCTGCTAGAATGGTAAGCTGTAGACTGGGGGCGACCACCACCGCTCTGGCTCGGCACAATATACGGGCCCCTCCCAGGCGGCGGTGACGGGCTGCGTGACGAAGACCGGGAAGTCTGGGGACCACGCCGAGGCGGCCGATAATCGTACTCCGGCCCGTGGTCGTATCCCTGTGGCGTATGTGGCGGCGGCTGGGAGTGGTGCTGCTGCTGGTGGATCACGTTTGGTCGCTGTGGCGGCTTCTCGCCCTCCCTCTCCGTGTTCCGTCTGTTCAGGCTGTTCATGCGGTTGTGCATGTGCGGGTCCATTCCGCCGCGCATCCCTTGCTGCGGCGGACCCGGAGGCCCCGGGGCAGGGGCCATGTGCTGGGGAGGGGGTGCGGGGCCGCCTGTGCCCATCCTGCCAGGCATCGGGGGGCCACTCATGCCCATCCAGCTTGCCACACCGCCCCCTGGAGAAGGCTGCTGTGGTGCGTAGGCGGGGGTTTGCGGCACCGACTGGGGGTGGGGGGGGTACCCGTAGTGCAGATCCTCGGTGCTGTCCTGTGGTGAGTGGGGGCCGGAATAGGGCCTGTTGTGGTGGCCGTGGGGCGGGCCGGGGGCGGGAGGCGCGGGGGCCATGGGGGGGCCGTTATAGTACATGCTCTCCGGCGGGGGGCGGTGGAGCGAGCCGGTTGACGCCCGGTGCGGATCCATTCCGTATCGTTGGCGTGACGCGGGTGATTGACCTCGTCGATTCGCCATTGCGGGGCTAGAGAGGGGTTTGTATCACGAGATGTTGGGGGGTGTTGCAACAAAACACGCACAACGAAACAACAGCAGAGGAAATACTATGTGGCGATTGCAATAGCAGCAGCAAGTAGAAAAACACAGCTGTCACGATAGATAAATAGCGACAACGGTGCAAAAAAAGACCTCTAGCGAGACAAAGCGATGAGGCTGCACTGAGAGATGCTGATGCTGATGCTGGTGATGGTAGTGGTGATGGATGGTGATGATGATGATGGAGAGGGGAAGGAAGAGAAGAGGAAGAGGAAGAGGAAGAGGAAGAGGAAGAAGAACGATAAAAAGACGGGAGGGTGGGGATAGATATGTATGAATATGCAAGCAGTGGTAGTGTGTATGTATGTGAGGAAAGGATTGCTCTGGTTGGTTGCGAAGAGGAAGGATGGCTATTGGGCGGAATGTGATAATGATTATGGGGATTGAGGAGCAGTGATGAGGGGTTTCGCTTGAATTGCCGTGACGGAGAAGCAGAAGTGGAGGATAGATATGTATGTATGTAGGATAGTAGGATAGTAATAGTAATACTCTAGTGGCAGTAGCTAGTTCATGTGGCAGTAGCAGTATGTATCTAGATATCTGAGATACCTGCCTGAGATACTGCAGTAGCAGCAGCAATTGCAGGCTGCTGCTGTATCGGAGCGTCGAATGGTCGTATGGGAGATGATTTGTGCGATGTGCCACGTCGAGCGGGGGAAGAGAGATGGATGGATGGATGAATGAGAAAGACCCTCACTCAAAGAGGCAGAGAGAGGGGATGATGGTGCTGATCTATTTACTACGCCAGAGAATGCTCGAAATCTATTCGACCTTCGTCTCCCCTCATCACCATCGCTGTTCACAAGTGAAATTGTGTTAATTCTGTGACCCATGCTGCTTTACTAGCTACATACCTCCGCTAGTACAGTACTACTGCTACAGACAGGTATCCTTCTCTCTGGATCTCTCAACCATCACCAGCTGTGACCGACCCTCCCAAAATCGAAAAAAAAAAAAAAAAAAAGGAAACGTTAACTACCTAGCCCAGCCTGCCTACCTCTCCGCCGAAATGCACCGTGATGTCGATGGTCACCCTTCCTCCCCAATGCCCACTATCTATTGGGCGCTGTCCTCCAGCGGAGTTTTATTACCTTCCAGCGATCCCCCATCATCATACCTCAGTCTACCTCGCCTCTACCGTGAGCGGGGTGGCGTAGCGTAACGTAGGGCCCCATCTCTACTACCACTCTAAGGAAGTTCTTTGCTGAGCGAGACCCTTGCTTCCGCACCGCACCACCGGCTAGAGTACGGCTCCAACAGCTACGGCAAGGTACAACTTTTTTCTTTTTTTTTTCTTTCTTGTTTGCCCCTCCTTCCTGGGGTCAGCGGTAAGCAGCCGCACTAACGTCATGTCTCTCTTTTCTCTCTCTGTGTCTCTCTACTACACCTCTGTCTCTGAGCATCACTCACCCACTATTACACTCGAGAATGAACGAGCGTGCACGATGATGATGATGCTGCCCAGCAGCACGCAAAGGGGGAAGGGGAAGGCGGGGGGAGGGGGGAGGGGGGAGGGGGGGGAAATTAGATTTTTTTTGCACAGCCAGCCAGACAGAATGGGCCAGTTGGAGAACTAAACACGTGTTACGAGCTCACCCACTAGACTGACTGACTGACCTGACTCCCTGGACTGTGTGCGGCGACGACGACGACGACGACGACGACAGCAACGGTGGCCGTGGACAGGTTGGGTTATGCTATGTAGGTACCCATTCTCACAGTTCACAGTAGAGCAGAGCACGGTATGGTACGGTAGAGTGGTACGGTATTGTACGCAGAGTATCTACAGGCCCCTCAAGTCCGCACTCACCCACCCACCATGACAGCACAACCCCCGGCTGGCCGCCTTTTCACTCTCTCTCCACTGCACTGCACTGCACTCTACTCCACACTCCACTCCACTCCACTCCAATTTTCTCTTTCGCGTGTCATTCCGCTGTTGTTCCCCTCCATACCCATCCATCCATCCATCCATCCATCCATGCCATCCATGATCCATCCATCTCGAGAAACTTAAACGGCTCCCTCCCAAAAGATTTTTATATACATAGTGAAACTGCACTTTCTCTTCCCTCTTCCCGCGCGCGCGCGCGCCTTTTGGCCCCCCTCAGTTGCTTTTTCCCCCGAGCCTTGTCAAACTGTTTCGCCTGAAGGGGGAAGCACAGCAGAGCCATAGCAGCGGGTAGTCCAGTAGAGGGACCACTCCAACATGAATATGAGCTGTGACGTAGTTCAGCTGGCTTGAGCTCTTTCTTACCAACATCAACGTCGGCCAGCCAGGCATGGAGGTGGAGGGGTGCGAGAAAACAGGTGACGAGCAAAGATGGGGACAGCGTACAGCGTACAGCGTACATGTGAGTATTGTACATGTACCCCAGCTACATACCCTACCTACTATATCTGCGGCGAGATCGAAGGGTTAGCTAGGTGGGGTGTTGTGAGTGCTTGAGTGCTTGCTTGCCAGCTTGTCTCTCTCTATGCTTGCCTCTATGCTTACTTACCCCACTATTATCGATAACAGACAGACGTATATACCTACCTACACTGTATGACTGTAGCACTAGTGCGGGGAAACGAGAGAGGGAGTGAGTGGGAAAAAAAAAGATTTTTTTACAAGGTAGGTAAGAAAGAGTAAAGTAGGTTGCGCGTTTATCCGCCGCCGCGTTTGCTGTTGCCTACAACCTCTAGCTCTCACCACTAGCTAGTGACTGACTGGAGGGGTTGATGAAACATTTGATATTACTCAGAGCCTCATTTCAAGTTTTTTTTTTTTTACCGCTCGCTCGTTTTGGGGGGGGGGGGGGGGGGCGTTATTGTTTTTATTATTTTTATTTTTATTTTTTTCTGGGGTGCGTGTGAAGGAAGTCGGCAATAAACGTACCGTTGACAGTAGTATTGCTCTATGGCACTAGTAAGTGGTGGATCAGTAAAGTAGGAATTCAAGAAACCCTAGCCCGGGCCCGCTGACGAGGGTAGGGAAGGTCAAGCAATGAGAAAAGTGCAGCAGTAGCCTTGTAGCAAACACCGCCTCTTCTTCCCGGAACCCAAAAGTTTGTGAGACCATGGCCGGCTAGCAAGTAGAGATCGATGTTTTATGTATGTCACGCTACTTGGCAGGTTGTTGCGTGACGTGACTTTGCCGGGGGGGGCTCGGAGTGTTTCGATCTCGGGCCATGATGGAACTTTTTTTTTATATTGCATTTTTGAGGGAATGCTGGATAATTCCATAGACTCTCATAAGCGAGACCCCCTCCCCGGTCCCCCCGCCCCCGGAGTCATGTCCGCCTTGCCTGAAGCTTGCCCACACTCGAGTTGCAGATAGGTTGTATGGTACTCTACTTTACTCTCCACATCCCTGGCGAACATCTCATCGTGAGCCAATATACACCTTCTGGGAGGGGGGTCTGCTATAAAGAACTATGGATCCAACGACTACAAACCACGCACTTCTTCGCACAACGGCATGGGTCCGAAAACGTCAAAAGTTAAAATCACCCACACCGGATATACTACATGGAGCAATGTATAATGTATGTCGGCCAGCGATTCGGTCCTACATCCTACATGCATCGACAACGGGAATCAAGCTGGCCTTACCTTACCTTACTTCACATGGCAGGTGCATTTTCCATCTTCTTCTCCATCATCCTCTTTGTCTTCTTCATCCTCTGCGCTTGTTCGAATACTGATGATCGCCAGCTTACCGCTTCCCCTTAGTTCCTCTGCTGCTAATATCTAATCTACATATTCTAGGCAAACAGGCAGTCCGTATCGATATCGGGAGATGTCAGTCAAAGGATGCTCCCGGAATTCTCCATATCTAACTTCTCCCTCGGCATTCCTTGCGCTGTGCCGTAATACAAGCAGAGCCACATCGAATAGGGTTCCGCCGGGGCGTTTGCCAGCGAACCATTAGGAAACGTTGCTATGATGTGATGTGATGGGCATTATCTATCTAAGGAATATGTATCTGGCTGGCCCAGGCAGACATAGGATGAAGGAAGGCCATCGATATTGGATGCATCTTACTAATTGGGCAGACGCAATGGGCCAATTGCCACGATCCACGAATGGAGCTCGCGGGGCTCATCAGAAATGACTCGTATCCGTGGATTGGAGGATGGTATGCCGTTTGACATCCGGCCTGACTGGCAAGACTCGGCTCGACTGGTGGCCCGAGCCTGGCTGATATCTGCTTTGGGGCGTGGGTGGTTGTAGTGGTTGTAGCTAGTGGTGGTGGGTGTCGCCCTATCTCGTATACTCGTGCTGGACCGAGCGTTCCAGTATGTATTGTTGCCAACTACCACTGGAAGATACACTGGGCATATACATACAATCCACTGGTACCATCGCCGATTCAGAACATGACTAGCCTAGTCAGAACCAGCAGAATCATGATTGAGGAGCAGAAAAAAGGCTCGGGTGGCCCAATTGCTTTAATCCACGAACGAATGGGTTGATGTTTTTTTTTCCAAGACGGAGATCAAGAGGGTGTGTGTTTGTTGCATCTGCGCAGATCATCGCCCTTTGTAATCTTACCGAAAGTTGGTTCGCCGTGGCATTGAACCATGGGCGAGATACTGCCTTGATGCCAATAGTGTCTTGAGAGACACCCCCCAGCTCTTGATACCTCTATCGGCACGGAATACTCTTTCATCTTGCGAACAAGCCTGGTTATCCTGGGACGTGCTCCCGCTCCTACATATACGGGGGGAGTGGACGATTGAAGTACTCCAGTGAATAGTGCTACAGGGGTCCAACCACGTATTGGAGGACATATTGGAGGACCCGGTTTTCTTCCGAGAAGTCTCTCATGACTACATGGTGCCCTCGTTGGGAGCAGTTGGCGCCGGGTATCACTTCATTGTCGGAGTTAGTAATGAGACTTGTTATGAATCGAACCAAATAACTACTTACATATCTGTAGATATGGAAACCGCCAGAGAAGAGCACAGGGCGAACCATAATTTCTTATTCCGCCAGCCGTAGACATTTGGCAAAACTGGATCTTTGATATTAGGACCATGCCTTTGACAGCGTCAGTTGGCGTGATACGAAGATTGTTGGTACTCTAGTGTATCACTGACATGGATCGGCGCACCGTCTATAATTACCCTGCGTCGATACTATTTTGGTTTTCTTGATACGAGGCGGTTAAGCCGTGTTGTCTTGTTTTTTGTTTTTGTTTTTAACTGTTTTGGTCTTGAGGTGTAGGTACTGGATGTTGGGGGGGGGGGGGGCTGCTTGACGGGCACTGTATGTTGACCCTATTTTTGCTTATTTCGAGTCAGTTGAAGTCCATAAAGCGAGAGATATCTGGGGAGTACATACCCAGTAAAGTAACTAAATGCATATGGACCTTGGCAATCCCTATCACCCGCTCAACCAAACATCACTATCCCGCCCATGGCCGGCGGCGGCGAATGGGGGGCGTCCTAATTGGCTGCCATTATCTCAATTCCTACTAGGTGATAGGTCGTTTCCATAGGAGTAACTGAGACAGCCATTATTTCATCATCCTGCGTTCATTGGGTGGGCTTTGTACCACCATCTTTGATCGCCGCATCTCGAGATATCACTCGGTGTTGACGATGTGGTGAAGAATTTTATTCTCTCATAAGATGAAATGGGGATGGTGATGCGTTGGTTTGGTTATGCTGTTGGTGTTTTTATGAGCGTTGGAGGTGATAGTGGTCGGATGCTGCATTTGGGGTTGGTGTGGTCTCGTGCCGAGCTGCAAAAGGCCCTCAGGGTTTTGGGGGTTAAGGGCTAAGCGGTCAGCTGTACCCTAACAGGACACCTAGTAGATGGAAGCACATTGTATATCTCGGTAATTGACCAATTATTCCCGAACCCGCCCAATCCCAGAGTTTATCGGGACCAGGGTTTTGTAGCCTGATGCAGGACTTTAAGTATTGTAATCATTATGATCGGCATACAGGTTCTCTGCAAAAATTGAGGAGTGCATGTGCACAACGGCAAGTCTATCTCAGCTGTGAGTGTCTGTGGACACGTTTCTTTTGAGACTGGGACTGGACCTGCATAGTACCTGGTTTTGGAAAGAAAATGACTTAAGGTGATCTCTCATCTGTACTTAATGTATGTGTTGTTTGTATGGTCCTGTACTTTCAAACACACAAACATCACTGAGAGTTAGAGAAATCTGGGCACGAGACTACATGTAACAAACAATGATAATTGACTTTTGCGCGTGACGGATGACTGAAGGCTGTAGCATTGTTATCATCTACAAACTTATTCCCAAATTTGAGTCTATATAATGATAGCCCTTTTGAAGGAAGAAGATATATACAGGAGCGTGTATTGTGATGATTAGGAGCGGTTTGATCACCTGTGCGGTTTGGTATTGGGATTCTGGTTTTGGAGTTTGTCTTCATGGTTTGTCACTCGATATTTCTTCTTGGCGCCAAGAGGTGGTTAGGTTAGTTAGTTAGGCAATTGGGGTCTCCCTAGTTGCTTTGGTACGAAGGTTTCAATCTACCTTCCTCTGTATTATGTTAATATCTCTCGGTTTTGAATTTGCTTTAATCCTATCACAGGAAGAACAATTTGTTGGTTCATCGGGCATATAAAAATACTTGTAGTAGGAATGGAAGTGAAGCCACGAACCAAACCTCAAGCTCTGAGATACTATAAACACATACCCGAATCGACATGCTGGTTTGATAAGAGAAAAGTGAAGCTGCACAAAAATATAGGCTAGCTGTATTTACACAAGGTTAGGGCCCTGACCAGGGTTAGGGTCAATCTACAAGGGTTAGGGGAAGGTTACGCTGCTAACCAACTGATCATTGACCATGCACTGAGCTGTTCAGTAACCGGCTTCTGATAACCACAAACCCCCGCAACTAATTCATCTACACCCATTTCAGCTGTCATCGTTCACTTTATCTCTCATCACTCGCCGCATCGTCAAATGTCATCAACTCCAGATAATCTCCCTCTTGCACCTATACTTACTGATTCTGAAATCGCTGCTCTATCTCAATTACTGTACGAGAGCACTCCTCAATATGACATTTCGTTACAACATCTTGATGACCCGAGCTCCCTTGATGACAATAATGGTGAGGGGTCATCTCATCAAGGATTCGCTGGTGGGTGCGATGCGTTGAGTTACGAAAGACCACCCAACATTCTTAATGCATTCGCCTTTGTCTGTGCTAAGTTCGAGAGCTCGGCTCAGTATATGGCCTTGTCAGCATCTATGGGACAAAATGTTCATGTCTACATTGCACAGAATTGGGCAAAGCCAGATAAGGACGTAAAGATCCATCTCAAAAGTTTGTGGACGCATATGCAGTGCATTGCATATGTGAGACACTATATTCGCTGTGAGAACGTATCAGAGCGTCGTGGCTGGGCTGCCATTGAGGTTAAGGAAGCACCTTCGGGGTGAAGGAGGTTAGTACTGAGGAACCCAAGCCTAAGTAATAATTATTTAAGGATGTATTTTCAGAGAGAGCTAAGACTGCTACTATGGAACAGATTTTATCAGAGAAATTTTCAGGAAGGGATCCGGATCTTATTGTCCTGGAAGAACTCCGAAAGACATTCATGCACGATGTTCAAATGTTTTGTTATCCCAAAACTAGGCATCGAGTCGAGAAATACCTCGCTCCCGGGATATCAGAATTTTATAAATTCTACTTCGACATTAACAAAGACTCTATGAACCACGGGGATGTTTTGGCTGAAGTTATCCATACACTATATCACATCTCCCGAATAGTAATGGTGAACATTAATGAGGACAACCCAAATAATTTCGCGGGTGTTGATTGGAGCCAACTGCTACATATGTTTAGGGTTCTACACCACAGGTACGTAGCTAGCAGGGATGAGATCTTAGGGCGGACTCGCCTGATCCTGCATACATGGAACGAGTCACAACAACAGAAAAGTAATATTAACCCTCCCCTAACCTAATATATCGAAAGCTCACACTCGGCCTTTAGAAGATATCTTCTTAGAGAATTTCAACTTGCTGAAGGCAATACAAAAGGTTTCTGAACTAGGAACTTATATCTACGAGTTACTCGACTTTGCCTATTCTCCGCGGCGTCATACTATACTGCAGAAGGACATTGAAATCATATTTGTGGATTCTATTGTCGATCCGGCACCAGAGCCCTATTCTCACCACGAAATGACGGCACTCGTGAAACGTGTCTTTGACACTGCGTGGTACGACCCTGGTACAAACTTTTACGAAAAGATTCTGGCCGCCCACGAACGACAAGCCAAACCCGCGGATCAGGCAGTATTATCAGTGAGAGCATCGTCACTTTCGGTGCATCCTGAAATGGCTTTGTTGATTTACCACCACCAACAGTTCGCAAAGAATCACTCAAATCCCGAATTCACTGCCCCATTTGAGTATATCGCGGTTAACGGGAGTCCATGTATTTGCTGTCGAGCTATGATGGACGCATACTCGAAGGCAACCAACCGCTCGTTCATCCTTTACGGACATAACCCAAAACTCTGTGCTCCCTGGTGGGCCGCAACTGATTGCTTTGAGCCAAAATTGGCGGCTGCCATGAAGATGATCTTTTATCGGAACATAGTAGGGGTCTACACAGATCAGATGCGTGAGCCTGAAGAACTTGGTGTAAAGAAACAGGATGGGTTCTAAGAATCTCCCTTGGACAACAGCGTTGCGCAGCCAGAAGACGATCTCAAAAAGAAAAGAAGAAGAAGAGTGGAGGACCGAGTCACCTGCTAATGTTCTTTGCTAAGGGGAAATAGAGGGGGAGGAATTGAATGAGTTCTGGCGGAGGATTTGGGCATTGATATAACCGATTATGATTTCATTTCATCTTTTTCTTTCTCCTTTCCTTCCAATATCACAAATATAGGACACATGGGCGGATTAAGCCTTTTGGCTTTCAAAGAGGTTTGAAGGCATTTATGGTGGCAGCAAAAATGATGGCTAAATACGGGGACGACACCTACGTTCTTATCTCGACACCTACGTCCTTACCTCAACATTTACGTCCCCGTCTCGACATTTAAGTTCCCGTCTCGACGTTCACGTTCTCGCCTCAACATATAGGCGTGCGTTCCGTAGATATATATATAACTATTTCATATTAGCCTTTAGCTACCCTCAGTAAATGTACCTCTTACACAATTAGTATCACTATAAAACATGTCATAGCTACGCAAGAGTAAAGGGACATTATCACAAGATGCAAATGAATAAACACTCTCGACGACATGCAGACCCCGGACCCACTTCAAAAATCTCTCCCTCCCACCTGTTTGAGGGCCACAATATTGAGAGTATCAAGTCCTAAATATGGGCTCCGGAACTCTACCCACACACACAAATTAGTACTAATAGAAAAGGATCAGACACCTCGGTGGTATATACATATCACCACCTTGAGTAAGATTCTCTGTATACAGTAGAACATGTAAAACGACCAGATATTTCGAGATATTGATGAGACTTGGCCCAATCACTTGGTTCATTATCTAGCCGGGCATTTTTAGTGGTTAAACCAGTTTTACAAATAGTTAGGGTTAGGGTTAATGTTGTAATGCCAAACCCTCCATTTTCAATGTTTCGAGACTAGCTGTCATGCCTACCTACCTCCTTGATTCGCCTTGTCTAGTATTACCTAGAAAAAGTTTTTGAGACTTTTTCTTTCGTGCCCATCACTATTTCGAGACCATAAAAAGGACAGTACTAATCAACCATAACACTTACATATATAGCGAGAGAAGGGCGCACCCTCAAGAGGACAGAACAAAAGGCTTCATCATAGCCTTTTGACAATCAAGAGCGTCCAAGGGTTCTATTATGTATATGTAAAAAGTAGTAAGTACCCCGACAGTTACAATATAAGCAAGATCCAACTACATTTTCCTTAACAATTTCCCTTAACAGTTTCCTTCGCTAATTTCCCTTAACGATTTTCCTTAGCGATTTCCCTTACCATTTTCTCTTAACAATTTCTTTTAATAATTTCCCTTGACAATTTTTCAAGAAAAACAGCACCAATGGTAGCCACCCGAGGCTCGCAGGAGGAAAACCCCAACCTGACCCATGATAGCAGTTATTCATATTCAGCTTACCTCTACTTACAAAAGCCCGAGCTCGAGCTTTCCAGTAGCCCCAGATCAGACGTTAGTTTTTAAAGTAATCCTAGATCTCGTATATTGCTGGGTTAGGGTTTGGTTTACAAATAAAATGATATTATCCGCATATCTAGTATGGTTTCAAAGGCGAGAATACGCAGAGAAATAACGCCCCAAAAACTCGCGCTTTTGAGCTCGAGCCGCGGAAGCTCGACTCGAGGGTACTTAGCTTAGATTCCAGTCGAGGACGCCGCACTACCTAAGTATGAAAAAACGGGTAAAATCACTGCTATAAGACCTGCATGGTTTGGTGAAGAATGCAGAATTAGAACGGCGCCTCAAAAAGAATACGTACAAATACCGTATGGCCGCAGTGCTAGCGTAGTTAGCGGGTCCACCCTTTTTGGTACTGTTATATGTCGATCATGAGTGATATTCCATGCATATACTATTGAAACAATGTGTCATTTGGTGATATATTGGCGAAGCCAAAACCACCTATTAGCACCGCAATATGTCAACATGTGATAGCCGACTTTAGTCAATACGCCGAGTCAACCCCGTACCAGCGGCACCCGGCCTTCCCATATAGGTCTCCGTGGAATCGGAGCCCGCGCGCGCACGCCCGGTTGAGCCGCGGCCGCAATCTCCCAATGCCGCCCGCCGCCAAATCTGAACCCGGCCAGGCTCCCAAAGACTGCGCCCATCTCAACGCCTCCAATCTTTGCCAGGATCGACACGACCAGCGTATTTCAGCGCCGATCCTGTATATAACCTCTCTATATCTATGTGACTTAGATTTGTAAGAGAAGCCCGGGAATATATCGTAACAGTACCTTTGAAAACGCGGGTATTCCATACTCTGTTTGTTTGTGGGGGATGTGATATACGATATAGGTTCCCCATCGATTATATTACAAACAACCTGCCCGACGCCGGTCACCCGAGTCGCCCTCACCCGCGAGTTCGACCTGAGTTCTGAATTTGAAGTCGAAACTCCCACAGCTCGTGATGCCGCACAAAATCGGGGATCCTCCCGGGCCCCACATATATAGATGTGATATCCCTCTTCACATTCATTCAGGCACTTCTCACTCCCCCGGTCCGGCTCTCTGTCCGATGCATCAATCCCCACGACTCCAGACGTAACATCCCCAGTAGCTCATGATCATCGCGGGATCCAAGCCTCAAATAGTAGGAAAATGCCTACTCCGGTCCCGTGGCTATCGTGTTTCTAGCCCCCGCCATGTTTCTGCCCCGCACCGGCACCGACAATGCAGGGCCGGCCGGCCAGGCATAGATCAGCCGGACACACAGTCCACCACCTGCTCCCTACCCCGCGCGATACGCAGGTCCGGCCGCACACGCCCGTCACTCGATCTTTAATGCAGCACCGAATCTCACCCGTCCCCGCGCCCCTTGCATAACCTGACTGCCGATCCTTCCTCAGAGTAATTATCTTCACCAGATCTCACTCGACAACTTACAGCCGGTCCGGTGATAATCACGTGCTACCCATCAAAGGGGAGTATAGTAATGATGAAGCATTTCGCAGGTACCTCTTTTCCCCACCCCCATTTTTGTTTTTCTGTTTAGTTCGTGGCCAGCGCCTAGTTGACCGATTGCTGAGTGAGTGCGGGCCGCGGCTGGCCGGTCGGTGCACGTCAGTACTCAGTTGAATTCAGTCGTCAGTCATGGCGGGTCGGATTCAGAATATTTCCAAGCACAGACCAGCACAGTAGCGGACTGTGTGCCTACGTCCCCCCCCCCCCCCCCCATTACCTAGTGGGGGGCGTGCCCCAAGCGCCGGGCTATGGTTGCGATTGTGATTGTGGAGGAGGGGAAGGGGGAGGGAGGCGGGCTGGGCATTTCTGTATAACTGTCCGGCCGCAGCTGAAAGTGAGATTACCGGTGATGAAGGCATCCGGCCGGAGGTTTATTGTGGTTCGAGCAGTATCAGTAGCATCTGCATCGGGAACCTATCGAGCTAGTAGTTTGGTTACTTTAGATTTCAGTAAATAAACTCGTGCATCCAATCAGGGCCCCACAACGGGCCGGTCGAGGGTTTCGGTCTTAAACCTGGGTTGCGTCCACCAATTGGCAGTTGCGAACCCAGTTTTTTCTCGGAAAGTCTGTCTGTGTACCTACTGCAGCAGGAAAAGGGTGTCGGTATTAAGACAAGACAGATGTTTATGTGAATGACTCGATTGCTGCTGCTGCTCTCTCCAGGTGTTTCATTTAGGAGCCCTTCCGCTACTTGTTCACTGAGTGTCAATTCCTATTCATGCTTAGATTGCCAATATGCGCCTGCCTGCACGCACGTTGTAAAGCAAAACAAAATAAATAAGAAAAATAAGAAAAAAACACAACAAAATTTCCCTGCGCAGCTGGATTAGTTAGCACCCCTCATTTCCAAAACCTGAGTTTTTTTCGATTTTTATTTTTCCCCTTTTCACTTACTTTCATACACTATACTCAGGTCGAAGTGATAGCAGTGAGCTGTTCTGTATCTGCGATGCCATTCTCGGCCGGCACAAAACCGCTGTCTTCAAAGAAAGTTCCAGGAAACAGACTTCCGAGTGATACCCGGTGTCCGCGAAAAAAAAAACCTGCAACGTGGAGTAATCCCATTTACTCTACTCCACCCACGCAATCTTCCTTTTTTTTCTCCTTCTCTTTCGCCTCCTGCAGCACGTGAGCATGTCTTACTGAGGGAATAAGCATAAGCCGCATACATACTTAGCCAGGGAATCGGTGAACGTCGGCTTTGCAGTTAATTCGCGTAGAGGGGGTATGCCCGGCCGATAGATAGTGTGCACATATAACTACTTAATACAATCGTATGATGAAAGTGGATTCGATTCGGGGGTCATTGGATCCCATAGCTATTTCCCCAACCGGGTGAAATCGCTAAAACTAATTAACTAGCTAAACAGCTTTTTTCTTGTTTGGATGGGCCCCCGTACGACGTACGTAGTACGTCCTTCCTCGTCCTGTCCTGCCTGCCTCCGGTATCTGCTTCTACACGGACGTAGCGGTGGGTATTCCAAATATGAACCCGCATCTGCATTTGCACTTTGGATCGGTTCTCGTGAGAGAGAGAGAGAGAAAAGGAACCGGCTCCAAGAGGTACCATACAATACCATAGCGATAGAGAGGTGGTTAAGCCCGATAAACGTAGCCTACTCCTAGGTACCGGTAGCTCTTTACTGGCAGAGTGTATCTCCCGGCATCATGGTGGGTCCCTGGATGCAGCCCTGTTGGGCAACTCTTCACTTTTCAAAAAATTCTTCCCAGGCCCATGGCCAGCAGCAGCTACCGTACCATGATCATTAAGTCCAACGGCCTGCTCTGCGAAGAACATCCAATTGCATCAACTACTAATCAGGCACCCCACTGCAATCTCGCTGCGCTGGAAGCTTTCGAGAAGTCGGTAGGGTAGGTAGAGTGCCTAGGTACATGTATGTAGGTACCTGTACCTCGAGTGTCCAGGTACCTAATTCGCAGCCAGGAAAGAGCAAAACTCCCGAATACCTGTCTGTCTGTAGG